CATTTTTGACCCCTTTTTGGCACTCTTTTTAAAAGGTTATGCTAGAGGCTTTGAATGGGGGTAGTCTGTTCCTTCCTTTATTGCTGTACAAAAAAAAGGTGTTTGAACCGGGCCAATGATTGGGTATACAAAGTGTGCCTTTTTCCCTAGTACTATGTTTGCTTTGGTTCCCAACCTTGCAAATTGACAGCAATTTTCTGGACACGGTTTGTGAGCAATTTTATAAACAGATTTAGTTCATTGTTTTACTGTCTTCAACATTCGCAATCCAACTGCTGTAATTCATCCTGGCCTACGTTTCTTTGTCCCACCCCCGGAGAATCTTACTATTTTTTTCTGGGTGTTTTGCGCTTCTTTCAGTTTTTTGTCAAGGCAGGTAAACCATGAAGGGGCAAGCGAAAACCAAAATTGCTTTTTAAAGGGCTAGCTAGGGTCCTCGGCCCAGTAGGTAACACTGTGTTTGCTATACAGGAACTTCAGCGGGCATTCGCTTTTTTTACTAATTTTCCCTATCAATTTCCTGAATGCAGGGGGTCAAAGGGGGTTTCCCCCAGAATTTTACTAAAAAACCCAAAAATGAGGGGGCTCCCCATTACACTGAACTTTAAAATTTTTACCCTTCTCGTTTTGTTTGTCCCAAAGAGAATGGCTTCTTTTTCCCCGGGGTGTAATGATATTTTGTTGTTACAAACCCATTTGCTGCAGGACCCCTTTCCGTGTTAAAACATTAGCTATATCTTGTGGATCTTTACCTGACACAACAGGGCACGTCATCTCAAAAGTGGGATTTTGCACTTGACACTGATAGGCATGTCATTGACAAAATAAGAATAAAAAGGGGCCCCAAAATACACTTGGGGAACTCCACATGTTATCGGCAGGGGTTCTGATTCCTTTTTTGTTGATTTTGACTATTTGTCTCTTTGCTAAGGTGGGATTTAAAACCCGTCTACAAAAACCTATACCGATAGCTTGAATTTTTTTTACATAATAATTGTGGTTGACAGAGAAGGGCCCTTTTTGCAGGCAAAGGGTTCCATCCCTATGAGGTTTCCCTTGACATTTCAGTTCTCAGGAATCCATCAGATTAATTGGGGAGGTGCCGATTGAGTGGGGACTTCAAAGCCCGTGATAGTTACGGAAATTTTGTTGTCATTAAGGTACTTAAACTATTGAGAGTACACCCCCTCAAATTTTAGATATTATATGAGAAACTAACGGGCCATAGTTGCTGACATCAGCCCCACTATTTTCTTGAAGATAGGAGTAACTCGGGCCCCCTTGAACCCCTCTGGTACGGATTAGAGGTGATTGATAGATTTTTTTATTGAGCAATAGGGTTGACGGGTTCAGAAGCACCTCTTTTGGGAAATTTAGACGGGATGTTTCAGGGCCTGTGCTCTTATTTGGGGGTTTAACGCTTATTCTTTTTGAATAAAGTCATGGTATTTACAGTTGACAACTGTTTGGGGTTACCCCTTTTTTGGGTTTTATATTTTTAAAAACTTACAGAGTCGGTTAAAGGTTTTTGATGCAGGGTAGTTTATTACTATTTTTGTGCAACAATAAGTAAACTCTGTCTGATTTTTTTTGGGTTATCCTAGGTTCTTAACATATCTGATGTATAAATAATTCTTGTAACTGTATTTGTGTATACCTGAATAAAACTACTTACTTATTACTTACTAACAGAGTGTAGTAGAATTAAAGAATTGCCACCTAATTTTTCGGGCATACTCATTATCGCATGAGTACTATGTTAGATATTTACGGGGCTTTGGCATAATACAAAAATTGTCAGGGGCCGAATTTTTCAACTCCCTCCCAGCACACATAAGGGGGATTCCAACAGACCCCTGGCGTCTTCAAGCTGGCATGGACAAGCACCTAAAGTCATTCCTGTCAGCCGGGGTGTGGCTGTACATTGGTTTGCGTGCACCCAGCAGAAAACAGCCGGGTTGATAAAGGCCGGCCCAAACCAGGGGCCCCGGGGTCACGCCCGGGGGCCGCGGGGGGGTTGCCCCCCCGGAAAATCTCCCCGGGTTACCCCAAACTGTTTTAGTGTTGCCAGACTTTCGGGGGTTATGTTTTTAAACTCTTAAATTTTTGAGAAAGTCTTTGCCTTTGCCCCTTTTATAAGCTGACTTTTCCTCCCCTTGGAATTCATTTGGCTGCAATTCCCGCTGTTTGCTTTTAAATTTTTTTGCAGCTGGTCTCGAATTCATATTATCTAAAACCATATCCAGGGTTCAGTTCTTCGTTTAATCCAAACCCCTTTAATGGTGCAATTTATAAGGATGGGAGTGAACATTGTTTTGAATTTTTTTCCCGGGACGTTTTTCGTCCCCAAATTGTTTCTCTGTCAGTCCAATTGTGTAGCCTTTTACCAGTGTTTCTTTTTGTAGTTTCTAGTTGACCTCAAATTTTTTTGTCCTGTGAGGCCTATCCTATCCCTAGTATTTTCCTGGTGCAGTAAATGATGAAATGATCACTAGACCTTGGAATGACGCCTGATGTAATGTTCTCAGAGGGTTACAAAGAGGGGCAATTAGGTGGTGGAACTGTGTGATCCGGGTTTTGGGGTATTAATTAATTTAGTGAAAATATTTAAACCTAGAAATTTTTCTTATACTTTTCGATGCCCGTTATTTTGCGCGAAAACATATATTAAGTCGCCCCGTTTTTTGTCTGCAATTGTTTTTAAGTCCGGAAAGACTCTGGAAAAGTCTTTAAGAACTGGCCCGGGGAGGAGGGGGTAACTAGTTCTACTAAATGGGTTGGTCTTGGGAGCAAAACCCTTTAAACCATAGGATCTCCCCGTTTATTGTTATTTTAAAACAGGTCTTGGGTTTAACTAAGTCTTTCTAAAGTAGGCACATCTCCACCACCCCTTTTTGTTTTTATCTAAGCGTTTATATTGTAACTTCTATTTTGACCTCGCGTCAGTCACGTATCATTCAACCCAAATTCAGAGATGGTTAAACGCCGCCCTAATTTTGTTAGCTAGAAACCTAAAACTCTGCCAAATTTTGGAAAAGGACTTTATTTTACATGAAAAAAGTGAAGGCCTGTTTTCATAAAACAATTATAATATCAATATAGGCAAGGGGATTTGTAATTTAAAATTTGGTAAATCAATGTCATCATTGCTAAAGGGGAATGTGCCAAAATGATTTGTTACACACAAAAGAAATTTTGGCACCGTTGCTATAATTGTATACACACCATCATGCACCCCCCCTTATAATTTTGCATAAGGGGCTTTTCCCGTTTTTTAAAGCTACTTTGTACAGTGTGGTTCATGTGGGGTTTGGGCAGTGGGGCACCAGATCTCCCCGGCACCTGAAAATGTGGGTTTAGTGAGGCACCAGATCTCCCCGGCACCCGAGAGATTGGTTCAGTTGCGGGACCGATCTCCTTGGCACCGAAGATGTGGTTCATGCGGCACGAGATCCCCTTGGATTGAGAGATGTGGTTTGTGCGGGACCCGATCTCCCTGGGACCCGAGAGATGTGGGTTTAGTGTGGCACCAGGGTTTCCCCGGCACCCGAGAGACATGTTCAGTGGGCACCAGGTCTCCCTGGCACCTGAAACATGGTTCGTGCGGCACCGGTTCCCTGGCACCTGAGAGACATGGTTCGTCCGGCACCAGGTTCCCTGGGACTGAGGACAGGGTTCAGTGCGGCACCAGGTCTCCCTGGCACCTGGAGACATGGTTCAGGCGGCACCAGGTCTCCCCGGCACCCGAGGACTGGTTCGTGCGGCACCCGGGGCTCCCTGGCACCCAGAGATGTGGTTCAGTGCGGCACCAGGTCTCCCTGGCACCTGAGAGACATGGTTCAGTGCGGCACCAGGTCTCCCTGGCACCTGAGAGACATGGTTCAGTGCGGCACCAGGTCTCCCTGGCACCCGAGAGATGTGGCACAGTGCGGCACTAAGTGTGGTGGCCCTAGAAACTAACAATACACCAGAGGGGAAGGAAAACCTCCAAGGTTTTACTTTGCATTTTTTTTTTGTTTTTTTGAGGACTTCAGCGGCGGCATTGGTGGAGTACAAACGTGTAAGTAAGTAAGTTTATTCAGGTATACACAAATACAGTTACATAGAATTATCATACATAGCAGCATATGTGTAGAGAACCTGGGATAACCCAAAAAAGTCAGACCGAGTGACTTATTTCCATTGGGGTCCTTTTACCTTATTATTATAATATAAAGGTTATAATATTTTCTTATTATTCTATAATGAAGATAACATCTTATTATCATACTAAAAAGACTATCTACTACACGAGGGTCATTAAGACTATCTACAATACGAGGGTCATTACTAGGAATAAGGTAAAATTTACACGTATGTTAGCTAAAAAATAGAAAATCATTCCCCTCCCTTTCTGTAGCTACATTCATCAGACACCTTTTGGCACTCTTCTTGAACTGGTTCATGCTATGACTGGCTTTGACATGTGCGGATAGTCTGTTCCATTCCTTTATTGCTGTACAATAAAAGGTGTTTGAAGCCTGGCCACTGACTGTGGGTACTACAAAGTTGTGCTCTCTCCCCCTTGTACTATGATTGCTTTGGTTCCCAACCTTGACAAAATTGACAGCAAGATATTCTGGACACTGTTTGTGAGCAATTTTATAAACATGATTTAGCTTCAGTTGTTTTACTCTGTGTTCAACATTCAGCATATCCAACTGCTGTAATTCATCCTGGCCTACATGTTCTCTTGGTCCCAGCCCCAGGATGAATCTTACGATTTTGTTCTGGGTGATTTGCAGTCTATCTTTCAGTTTTTTTGTCAAGGCAGAGTACCATGAAGAGCAAGTGTAATCCATATAGCATTGTATAAGGGCTAGACATAGGGTCCTGCGAGCCTCAGTAGGTAGGCACTGTGCTTGTCTATACAGGAACTTCAGTCTGGCATTCGCTTTCTTTACTACACTGTTCCCTATCAATTCTCCTGACATGCATGGGTCAAAGGGGATTCCCAGATATTTTACTGATGAAACCAAAGTGATGGGCTCCCCATTACACTGGACATTAAAATTATTTACCCTTCTCAGTTTATGTTTCGTGCCAAAGAGAATGGCTTCAGTTTTCCCGAGGTGTAATGATAGTTTGTTGTCTACTAACCATTTGCTGCAGGACTCCAGTTCCAGTGTTAAAACATTAGCTATATCTTGTGGGTCTTTACCTGACACTAACAGGGCACTGTCATCTGCATACAGTAAGAGTTTGCACTTGACACTGATAGGCATGTCATTGACATAACATAAGAATAATAAGGGACCCAGAATACTACCTTGGGGAACTCCACATGTTATCGGCAGGGGTTCTGATGCCGTTTTGTTGATTTTGACAATTTGTCTCCTGTTGCTAAGGTAGGACTTAAACCAGTCTACAGAACCTATACTGATAGCTTGAAGTTTCGTACATAATATATTGTGGTTGACAGTATCGAAGGCCTTTTGCAGGTCTAAGGTTACCATACCTATGAGGTTCCCCTTTGACATTTCAGTTCTCAGGTTGAAGTACAAGTGAAGTGGAGTACAAACTTGCTGGAATACAGACATGCTGGCACATTGACTTCTTTGGGTTGTCCTAGGTAATTTACACGTTACTCTGTATGATAATTGTACTTATGTGTATCTGTAACTAAATAAACTTTAAGCCTGGGCTCCACCTGATCAAAATTGGAAATTTAATGTTTCTCGTTTCTCCCATTTCTTTTTCATTCTTGCCCTATTTTAGGCAGCATATTTTTTTCCCTGGTCTCGGTAGAGCTTTATAAAGCTCAATTTTGGTGGCCGTCACCCCAGTAATATATATATAATAAGAATGTTTCAGTGAGGGGGTTCCATAGTAAATGCCATGCGGGTTTAGCGTTTTTTATAGCATGTTATAGATAGTAAGTAAGCATATGTGTAGAGAACCCAAGATAACCCAACAAAAAGTCAGTGACTTATTTCCATTGGGGTACTTTTAATACCTTATTATTATACTATAAAAGTGATAATATCTTATTATTTACTATAAAGGAGATATACTAGGAATAAAGTAAAAATGGGTTATTTATATTTACATGTGTGTTAGCTAAAAATAAATAAAAAAAATAATTCTCCCTTTCTGTCACTATATTCATTAGGTACATTTTGGTTCTCTTCTTGAACTGGTTCATGCTATGACTGGCTGTGACATGTACAGGCAGTCTGTTCCATTTTTTTATTACTGTACAATAAAAGGTGTTTAAATACAAAGTTGTGCTCTCTCCCCCTGGTGCTATGATTGCTTTGGTTCCTAACCTTGACAAAACTGACAGCAAGATATTCTGTACAGTGTGAGCAATTTTATAAACTTGATTTAACTTCAGTTATTTTACTCTGTCTTCAACATTCAGCATATCCAATTGTTGTAATTCATCCTGGCTTACATGTTCTCTTGGACCCAGGTCCAGGATGAGTCTTACCATTTTGTTCTGGGTGATTTGCAGTCTATCAGTTTTTTTGGTCAAGGCAGAGTACCATGAAGAGCAAGCATAGTCCATATGACATTGTATAAGGGCAAGACATAGGGTCCTGTGAGCCTCAGTAGGTAGACGCTGTGCTTTTCTTTAGAGGAACTTCAGTCTGGCAATCCATTAGAGACATATTGACTATCAAAGAAATGGCAAATTTGAATCCCCAGTGGAGATGCATTGATTCGATTCCTTATTGCAAATTATTCTTTGCTTTTTGTGTACGTGTATGAATGTGTATGTGTATGGTGGCCCAGGGCCTTGTGGCAAAAGGTCTCGCTTCAGACACTGAGGGTCTGGGTTCGATTCCCAGCGAGGGTAGAAACATTGGGCATGTTTCCTTACACCAGTTGTCTGTGTTCACCCATTAGTAATAATGGGTACCTGGGTGTTAGTTGACTGGTATGGGTAGCATCCTGGTACAGAATTGACCTAATTTGCCCGAAATGCTCTGCATAACAAGCTGCTTTCTATATAGTGGTATGTTATTGATGTCAGATAGGCCTGTATACCTTGTACATATGCTTGTAGAAATAAAGATATTATTTATATTATTATTTGTTATTATACATACATGTATAATAATGAATATATTATTTCTCACTAGTGTGGTTGTAATATTATATTATTATCCCCAGAGAAACAATGGCACCAACAGAGGAGCTTAGCTCTGGTGAAATTTATCCACTGAAGACTTGGGAAGAACTTCTGGAGTGGACAGGGCAAAATCTTCACAACGTGATTGTTAACACTAAGAAGCTTTGCTCTCGTGTTTCTCCTCATTCACCATCACATCCAAAAACCCTTGTTTGTCATGATATGAAAGGTGGATATTTAGAGGACAGGTATGTATGTAGGTTCATGTCATGCTAAAATGATGTTCCATAGAAAAACTAAAATTTTGAAGGATATTTATTTTTCCATTATAATTGTCTTTAGTTTTAATCTCTGAAATGTTCATTCACAAACTTAAAATGTGCTGTACTGTATATAGTTTTCATTTATGTATGCAGTGGTAACTAATAGCTCATTGTAATGCATTCAGCTCACAAACAAAGGACTAAAGTTAAATCTCAGATGAAGTGGGGAATATAAGCATGTCTCCTTACACCTGCTGCCCTGTTCACTCTGTTCACAATTTACAGAGATATACTGCAATAAACATTGAAAATATAGGAGTTAAAAGTACAATTTACTCAGTTTATTTTGCCCTTAATTTAAAAGTCTGTTATAATGGGATCGGTCCATTATGTCAGGGGTTTATTGTACTCATATCAGAGACAGGTTTGTATGTGGATACAGTATATGGCTTTAAGCTGATGAATAGTGTTTTAAAAACATACCCAAGTAGAACTGTCTGTTTATATGATGCTTAACCCACTGAGGACTTTATCACATATGTGATATAGGCCTCTAGTAGTTGAAACCTTAAATATGAGATTTTTATACCACATGAGACAGGTATTACAGACTTAAGCCATTACTATGTTTTTTGGGGGTGTAGGTTGTTTAGCGGAAGCAAAAACAAAGACGCCTACAGGTTTTATCACTGGTCGGGAATTGATACATTTGTGTACTTCAGTCATCACTTTGTTACAATTCCACCACCTGGTTGGATTAACACAGCTCATCACCATGGAGTGAAAGTGCTTGGTAAGTTAAGCTACAAACTATATACTATATAAATACAAAATACTTACATCATATTGCTGTATTCAGTTGAATACCATGGAAGTTTTACTGTACTGTACTGTACTGGTTTTAATTTTAGATAAAATGGCAGGGAGGATTGAGAATATATTCAGTATCAAATACTGTACATTTATACTTTATTTATTAATTAAACCAATTTTGGCATTCATTCTGTCTGTAAGTAACATTTTCTACCTGACATTGCATTTGTATTTTAGGGACGCTTATCACAGAGTGGGATGAAGGAGCTAATATTTGTCAAAAAATGTTAGCAAATGAGGACTCAGTTGCAGCTTGTGTGTCTCAGTTGGTCAAGATTGCCAATTACCACAGTTTTGAAGGATGGCTTATCAATATTGAAAATAAAATAGATCCTGAGCAGGTAAATTATTTAATTATAACTTTCAGTAATCATTTCTGTTTTGGGTCACCTTGCCTCAGGAGATGGCCATTGTTAAAAAACAAATTCCATCAGAAGGAAAAACTCATATAAAACTTTAATACTGAATTTGTTAAAAAATGTTACTGTATATTGTATCCAGTTATATACGTATATGCTACTATTAGTTGAAATAATATACGTACTAAGTATTTTGTATAATACATATACAGTGGACCCCCGGCTTACGATATTATTTCATTCCAGAAGTATGTTCAGGTGCCAGTACTGAACGAATTTGTTCCCATAAGGAATATTGTGAATTAGATTAGTCCATTTCAGACCCCCAAACATACACGTACAAACGCACTTACATAAATACACTTACATAATTGGTCGCATTGGGAGCTGATCGTAAAGCGGGGGTCCACTGTACCACTAAAATTAGTACAGTGGACCCCCGGTTTACGATCAGCTCCCAATGCGACCAATTATGTAAGTGTATTTATGTAAGTGTGTTTGTATGTGTATGTTTGGGGGTCTGAAATGGACTAATCTAATTCACAATATTCCTTATGGGAACAAATTCAGTCAATACTGGCACCTGAACATACTTTTGGAATGAAATAATATCGTAAACCGGGGGTCCACTGTATTTCAAATACGTACAGTGGTACCTTGACTTACGAGTGCCCCAGCTTACGAGTTTTCCGAGTTACAAGCCATCGCTCGGTTGATTTTTTGCTTTGAGTTGCGAGCCAAAATCCGTGTTACAAGCAAGCTTCAGATATGCTGCCACTAGTTGGCACCAGTGGTTGGTGCAGCGAATGCCACAACATCCGCCCAGCATCCCAGCGTTTTGTGCTTTTTGTGCAGTTATTTTGCCAAATTTCTTTTTTCTGACCATGGGTCCTAAAAAAGTAAGTGGAAAGGACAGTGCTGAGAAGAAGAGGAGGATGTCCATTGAATTAAAGCATGAAATCATAGAAAAACACGAGAAAATTGCTTTTGTTTCAGTATTTTCCTTATGAAACTAGTGATCTAGTGCAGTTAACCTCACAAACACTCCATATTCTCTTATAATAAGACCTCAGAAGGGCAAGAATGGAAGGTATGGTCAGAGTGATAATTATTTTTACCTCAGGAGTGGCTGCCACCACTCGTCACATAATGACATATTTTATTCATTCTAGAGTATATGTATATCATGTTTCTATGTTATTTATATTGTTTATTATGTCATATTAGATCAATTGTGATAGATAAATGAGCCGTAGAGTTGATATTAGCGTTATAATGAAGTATTTTCTCCTGCCTCCTGAAAGCCAGGAATTCCGCTGGAACAGATTAATGGCACTTCAGTTAATTTCAGTGAGGGATATTGATTTGATATACTACAAGCAAATTGAGTTACGAGCTCGGTCACGGAACGAATTAAACTCGTAAGTCAAGGTACCACTGTACATATCTTGTGTGGTGTGAATATTATGCAGAGAATTCAGAGCACTATTCAGAGAGCTGTTGAAGAGTTATTGAGGTGATTTGGACAGTTAAGAGGGGATGGAGCACAATAGAAGTGTATCAGTCTTTGGTGGAGGAAAGAAGGGGTAGGGGTCATTCCAGGAAAGGTTCAATGGTCAAGGAGGGTAAAGGAGGTTTTAATTGCTAGGGGATTGGATATCCAACAGTCTTATGTGTAAATGATTGATAAGAGTGAGTGGAAGCAAGTGGTTGTTATGACTAGGCATGTTGTTGGAGTGTGAGCAAAGCAATACAGTATTTATGAGGGGGATTTTGTGAAACCAGTTAGTTGGATTTGAGTACTAGAGGTGAGGTGGGAAGTACAGTGTAGTCCCTGCACCCTAAAGGAAGGATGAGGATGTTGCAGTTTGGAGAGCCATCAGAACTGTGATGTCAGCATACTTCTGGCATGATAGTGATTGAATGAATAACAGCAAAGTGTTTCCTCTTTTTTTTGGTCACCCTACATCAGTGGGAGATGGCTGATGTGTTACAAAAAAATTGTGCAACACTAATTGCAGTTTTTTATCTTGATGTCACTGATTTATAAATTTTCTTCATTAACCCTTAAACTGTCCAAACATAGATCTACGTTCACACGCATAGTTCTCCGAACGTAGATCTACGTTTGATCTTACATTGTTTATCATGTAAAAAAAAAGTAGATCTACGTTTGGAGCGCTGTGCGCACAAACATAGATCTACGTTTGGACAGTTTAAGGGTTAAAGCATTTCTGCATAGATAACCTTAAAATTGTATCACAGTCTTTTTGCAGGTTGAGCAGTTGAGAGACTTTGTGCAGAAGTTAACACTGGCAATGAAAGAATCTCTCCCTGATGCTCTTGTCTTGTGGTATGACAGTGTTACCACAAGAGGAGAGTTGTGTTGGCAGAATGAGCTCAATAATTACAACAGGTAGAGTTTTGTAAGATGGTTGAGTTTCAGATTCTGTATTTTTTTTTAACACACCAGCTATCACCCACCAAGGCAGGGTTACCCAAAAAAGAAACACACTTTCACCATCATTCAATGTATATATGTACATATATTATACGGTGTCTTGTAATTACATTTAATGTTCATGACGAACCTGGAGATCTGTAAAGAGTATCCCTAACCTTACTAATTGCATGCTTTTATCCTCTTGTAGCAGCCTGTTGTAATTCATTTGACATTGTTGTTATGCATTCTATTCTCATTAACACATAACAACATTCAAAAACATAATAGAGGATAATGGATCCACTACCTGGGCCTAAGCATGTTACAATGATAATGAATTATTTTCATAGGGAGTCAGAGTATGCAGTCATAATAACATTACAGATATACTATTAATATTATTATTACTGTAAATTACATATCCTTTATATTATAAATTCCATTTATAATACAGTATTTAGACTATAAAAGGACACATTATATCTTCCTAGCTGTGTACTGTTCGGCTCCACATGTTAAGTCAAGCACCTTGCTGTATCTATAGTACGTATTTGGCAACGCTCCTCGGTCATTATACACCCTCGCAGGAACTATTTTACCCTCAATATTTTCCTGTATGAGTTCCATTACAAAATATTTGTTTTGGATATATGTGGCCTGTTTTATTAATCTATTATAAAATAATTATATTTGTTTTTTTGACCTTCACTTGTTTTTTTGTTTTTTTATTTCTGGCATATGTACTTCTTATTTGGGATCATTTTTATCATTTTCTTCCAATTTCCACTGGGTTTCCCGTCATCAGGTGTTTTCTTGTAATGGATCTTTCTGCTCTCTGCTTCATCCATAGGTCTTAGGACAATTTTTTTTTCTTTTTTTGAGTGTTATGTAGGATTTTTATTATGGTACCATATATTATGTGATATTAAATTTTGCATGAGGTGAACATTTTTTTCATTCCTCTACATAATCTAAATATTGCAATACCACTTTGATTGTTAGAGGTTGTGTCTCTAAATATGATGCTGCTCTAGTAATTCTCTCATAAATTGGTAGTCACACTGGGGTTTCAAGGGTTGTACAGCATTCTGTCGTATGCTGCAGTGATCCAAGGTGAGGATGAATTTTCGACCAACTTCAATTTAGTCTTTTATTCTCGTGAAATCGTAATAACACAATTGCCAACGAATCACGAAACGAATGGCATTTAAACCCATGATAAGTGAATTCTAAAACTCACAGGCCAGTGCGTTAACCACTTGCCATGGGTTCCAACCCCACTCAGTCCATGATTAGTCTTCTATTCCTTTGGTTGTCAGAACCAGGTCTAAAAAGGTTTCCTCAGGTGACTTCAGTTGTGTGCTTACTAAACAGGAACCTTGTAGTACAAGTAATTTTCCTTTGATTTCTTTGGATAGCCTGTCCCAGTCTCTTTCATAGTCAAGGTTTGTAACTAAGTTGCTTTTATGATGAAGTGATGCTCGTCTTATATTTGCACTAACTAACCCACACAGGTTTAGCACTTCATATAATACATTGCTATTTACAATAACAAGTGTTTGTAGTGCACTCTCAGTGTAGACTATTTCATTTTGTTGTCTTCTGATAAGACTATGATTGAATGAATGATGGTGAATGTGTTTCTTCATTCTTGGGTCACCCTACCTCAGTGGGAGATAGCCAGTGTCTTTAAAAAATGTAATATATATGAGTTGTTAGGTAAGACACATATGCAACAGTTAGGTATCTTTATTATGAAACGTTTCGCCTAACTGTTGCATATGTGTCTTACCTAACAACCTGTCGGGTAAATGTAAATGGGGAACCTTTAATTGAGCTATGTGTAGAAAGAAATTTGGTAATAAGTAATACATATTTTATGAAAAAGAGGATAAATAAATATACAGGGTATGATGTAGCACGTAATGAAAGTAGTTTATTAGATTATGTATTGGTGGATAAAAGGTTGATGGGTAGGCTCCAGGATGTACATGTTTATAGAGGGGCAACTGATATATCGGATCATTATTTAGTTGTAGCTACAGTTAGAGTAATAGGTAGATGGGAAAAGAGGAAGGTGGCAACAACAAGTAAGAGGGAGGTGAAAGTGTATAAACTAAGGGAGGAGGAAGTTCGGGTGAGAATATAAGCGACTATTGGCAGAAAGGTGGGATAGTGCAAAGATGAGTAATGGGGGGGTTGAAGAGGGTTGGAATAGTTTTAAAAATGCAGTATTAGAATGTGGGGCAGAAGTTTGTGGTTATAGGGGGTGGGTGCAGGAGGAAAGAGGAGTGATTGGTGGAATGATGAAGTAAAGGGTGTGATAAAAAGAGAAAAGTAGCTTATGAGAGGTTTTTACAAAGCAGAAGTGTTATAAGAAGAGCAGAATATATGGAGAGTAAAAGAAAGGTAAAGAGAGTGGTGAGAGAGTGCAAAAAGGAGAGCAGATGATAGAGTGGGAGAGGCACTGTCAAGAAATTTTAATGAAAATAAGAAAAAATTTTGGAGTGAGTTAAACAAGTTAAGAAAGCCAAGGGAAAATATGGATTTGTCAGTTAAAAACAGAGTAGGGAGTTAGTAGATGGGGAGATGGAGGTATTAGGTAGATGGCGAGAATATTTGAGGAACTTTTAAATGTTAAGGAAGAAACAGAGGCAGTAATTTCATGCACTGGTCAGGGAGGGTATACCATCTTTTAGGAGTGAAGAAGAGCAGAATGTAAGTGTGGGGGAGGTTACGTGAGGCATTACGTAAAATGAAAGGGGGTGTAAAGCAGCTGTACTGATGGGATCATGACAGAAATGTTAAAAGCAGGGGGGGATATAGTGTTGGAGTGGTTGGTACTTTTGTTTAATAAATGTATGAAAGAGGGGAAGGTACCTAGGGATTGGCGGAGAGCAATGTATAGTCCCTTTATATAAAGGGAAAGGGGACAAAAGAGACTGTAAAAAATTATAGAGGAATAAGCTTACTGAGTATACCAGGAAAAGTGTACGGTAGGTTATAATGAAAGAATTAGAGGTAAGACAGAATGTAGGATTGCGGATGAGCAAGGAGGTTTCAGAGTGGGTAGGGGATGTGATGATCAAGTGTTTACATTGAAGCATATATGTGAACAGTATTTAGATAAAGGTAGGGAAGTTTTTATTGCATTTATGGATTTAGAAAAGGCATATGATAGAGTGGATAGAGGAGCAATGTGGCAGATGTTGCAAGTATATGGAATAGGTGGTAAGTTATTAAATGCTGTAAAGAGTTTTTATGAAGATAGTGAGGCTCAGGTTAGGGTGTGTAGAAGAGAGGGAGACTATTTCCCGGTTAAAAGTAGGTCTTAGACAGGGATGTGTAATGTCACCATGGTTGTTTAATATATTTATAGATGGGGTTGTTAAGGAAGTAAATGCTAGGGTGTTTGGGAGAGGGGTGGGATTAAATTATGGGGAATCAAATTCAAAATGGGAATTGACACAGTTACTTTTTGCTGATGATACTGTGCTTATGGGAGATTCTAAAGAAAAATTGCAAAGGTTAGTGGATGAGTTTGGGAATGTGTGTAAAGGTAGAAAGTTGAAAGTGAACATAGAAAAGAGTAAGGTGATGAGGGTGTCAAATGATTTAGATAAAGAAAAATTGGATATCAAATTGGGGAGGAGGAGTATGGAAGAAGTGAATGTTTTCAGATACTTGGGAGTTGACGTGTCGGCGGATGGATTTATGAAGGATGAGGTTAATCATAGAATTGATGAGGGAAAAAAGGTGAGTGGTGCGTTGAGGTATATGTGGAGTCAAAAAATGTTATCTATGGAGGCAAAGAAGGGAATGTATGAAAGTATAGTAGTACCAACACTCTTATATGGGTGTGAAGCTTGGGTGGTAAATGCAGCAGCGAGGAGACGGTTGGAGGCAGTGGAGATGTCCTGTTTAAGGGCAATGTGTGGTGTAAATATTATGCAGAAAATTCGGAGTGTGGAAATTAGGAGAAGGTGTGGAGTTAATAAAAGTATTAGTCAGAGGGCAGAAGAGGGGTTGTTGAGGTGGTTTGGTCATTTAGAGAGAATGGATCAAAGTAGAATGACATGGAAAGCATATAAATCTATAGGGGAAGGAAGGCGGGGTAGGGGTCGTCCTCGAAAGGGTTGGAGAGAGGGGGTAAAGGAGGTTTTGTGGGTAAGGGGCTTGGACTTCCAGCAAGCGTGCGTGAGCGTGTTAGATAGGAGTGAATGGAGACGAATGGTACTTGGGACCTGACGATCTGTTGGAGTGTGAGCAGGGTAATATTTAGTGAAGGGATTCAGGGAAACCGGTTATTTTCATATAGTCGGACTTGAGTCCTGGAAATGGGAAGTACAATGCCTGCACTTTAAAGGAGGGGTTTGGGATATTGGCAGTTTGGAGGGATATGTTGTGTATCTTTATATGTGTATGCTTCTAGACTGTTGTATTCTGAGCACCTCTGCAAAAACAGTGATAATGTGCGAGTATGGTGAAAGTGTTGAATGATGATGAAAGTATTTTCTTTTTGGGGATTTTCTTTCTTTTTTGGGTCACCCTGCCTCGGTGGGAGACGGCCGACTTGTTGAAAAAAAAAAAAAAAAAAAAATATATGAGTTGTTACTAATTAATGATTTTTCTTGTGTGAAAATTTGTTTGCTATACACTGGGCATTTTTTACCACAGGCCATTTTTTGATGCTTGTGATGGGATTTTTCTGAACTACACTTGGACAAATGATCATCTGATACGCTCACGAGAAGTGGCTGGTGAGAGGACTGGCCAGGTTTACGTGGGTCTGGATGTATTTGGCCGTAACTTCTATGAAGGAGGAAAATTTAACACCCATAAAGTACTGTAACAGTAACTAATTATTATTATCTTATTATTATACAGTAGGACCCCCATATCGATGGGGGGATACGTTTCAAGGACCTGCCGTGGATACTGAAACTGCAGATAGTAGCAAACCCTTTGTGTAATCATGTAGGTACCTATTATAAAATTTAATTAATAAATTATGCACAATAAGTGGAGAGTTATTACTTTTTCAATGATGGGAAGCACTTCAATGCTTCTCTTAGGCTTTGAAGAACTGCCAGTTTGTCTACTTTTGCATTTTGGGGCCATTATTATGTAAAATTAAGTGGTATTTTTGGGCCACAGTAAACCGTGGATAATGAATCAGTGGATATGGGGATTCTACTGCATTATTATTATTATTATTATTATTATTATTCTATTATTGGATTATTATTACTGCATTATATTAATGTTATTACTATTATTGATTCTGCTATTATTACTGTAAGTGGTGAAACAGATGTGTAGTTTAATTGCTGTAATTAACCTTTGTGTCTTTAAAAAATTATTAGACCTTATAATTGTAGGAAACTTTTCTGGTTGGATGATCTTGTTTGAATTCGTTGAGAATTTTAAACAAAATTAAGACAGGAAATTCTATTATGAAAAAAAAATAATTTCATTTAATCAACAGTTATTATAGCAGAAACATTTTTAACTGTGTATAAATGTATTCTTTCCTGGGCTTCTGCATTTTTGCTTTTACTGTGGTAATTTTATACATGAAACATATTTTTTCAATAACCAAGAGTAGTTCTCTATTGATCTTATTTTAAACACAATGGCCATTTCTTGCTAAGGCAGGGCAACCCAAAGAAAACAACACATTCACTCTGTCAGATCCCCCCTCTATCTGCAACATTCCCAGTCCTCCTCTATAGTGCAGGCACTGCCCTCTTCACCTTCTGGAATCTGGCTATCTAGTTTTCCCCTGAATCCCTTCATAAAAGTTACCCTGCTAACACTCAAACAGCACATCCATTAAAATCCATTTGTCTCCATTCACTCGTATCAAACACACAAATAAGCCTATTGGATGTTCGTCAAGTACCTGAAACTCAAAACTTCTTGTACCCCTTCCCTCAGACCATTTTTGGGATGACCCCTTCCCATACTACCTTCCCCCTAAGATTTATACACCCTCTTAATTGACCTGTCCCTATCAATCCTTTCTATATGCCCAAACCACCTCAACAATCTCTCTACTGTTCTCGGAATCATACCTTTGATCACTGCATATTACCTTTTAATTTCTACACTCCAAATCATCTGCATGATATTCACACACATTGCTCTGAAAATGGGCTATAGAATTTCTTCCCATGTATGTCAGGCATATTGTAAAAGGTGACCAAAATGATGGGAGCGCTGGGCTAGTAACCCATATTCTATTTTCACTTACATAAAAAGTTTAAGCTTAAATATGTTTATAATAATGACTTGCAATTATATTTTTAGGCTCTGGAGGCAGCACGATTGCACAATTTATCAGCTGCTATATTTGCCCAAGGATGGACACATGAAACTCAAGATAATTTTGTAGAAGCTGAGAAGATGATGTGGAGCTCCTTGGCCCCTTACCTTGCACATCATGGGCCTTCCTGCTTACCATTTCGAACATCTTTCTGCCAAGGCTTTGGATCAAAACATTTTCTGCGAGGGAAGGTTGGCATTATTTTGAGGGAATTTTATCTTTTTCTAGATAAATAGTTGTGAAATGTTGTAAAAAAAAGTTGCTTTTAAAATTAAATCAATGGAATGAAATAAACCATTTTAGAAAGTGACTGAAACCCACTGAACTATGCCTCTGCCTTGAGCTAACCTGCTACAGGAGGGCCTGCTTTATACAGCAGGTTAGGTTCTGGGCTACTGCTGTAAAGTGAAAATTGCTGTAAAGTGAAAATTGCTGTAAAGTGAAACATCTATTTTTCTCTTTCAAATGATAACATGTTTACACAATTTTATGTTGAGCAATAGATCTAGGTCTAAAAAATACATATACAGTACACACATTACTTACCTTAAAATATTTTCATCCCTAGCTTATAGTGAGTGGTGAATATATTTGTTGTAGGAAAACTGAATAAATGAAGAATTGGTATAATTGAAAACCAATTCATTAGTGAAACTCTGTAAAACTAAGTGCTGTAAAACGGGGCCCTCTTGTACTTCCTTTACTTGCTAACAACATTGCATGTTGGTCCAAAGATTGCCCATTCTTAATAGAATAGTTTGAAGTAGTTTAACATATCCTACTTACAATAAAGAATTATATGAAGGTCAGATCAAAATTTCAGAGCTTTAATACTTAGTGTTGCTCATACTTTGTGAGTGGTCAAGCCAGGCATGCAGTTTGACAGGTTTTCAAACTCCGTACAAGTTAAAGAGCAGGTAAGCTCTAACTCTTTGTGAGTCCCAAAACAGAATTTACAGACTGTGTTTCATTTTTTGTAGCTGTTGTGTAAAACATGACCTTGACACTTTGTAGGATTTCAAGACTGTAAGAAAAGGGTGTTAAGTGCATATTTTTAAATACACTTTATGTACTTTGATTTGTATTGATGTAATTCCAACTCATTGCTGTATACATATACATATTTGCTGTTGTGGAACACCCATCAGTAAGTTTGTGCCAACATCACTGGCTTGCAAAATCACAATGACACAATTGTGAATAACTTGCAGAATGGGATTTGAACCCCATGTCTTTCTATTGTGACAGTTTTTAAGTGCTCTGCAGTCTGATTGCTAGCAGTAAATATCAACACATTGAAATGTTTTCCCAATAAAGGCATGTTCTTCACTGTTGCCAGCAGCACGCTGCTTAGATCCATTCCTTAGCAACTTAAATGAAAGAGAAATAAGTTGAGGAGCCTGGGACAGTCTGATAACATAAAATCACATTGTGTTTAGTAAATTTTGACCATAGCAAATTGTAACAAGCTGCTGTCAGTGACATGCACAGAAGACTATGCTGAACATTAAAAAATAGCTGGCGAATGGCAGTGTTCACCTTATGTGCCATATATTGTAAAACACTCTTGAGCTTCACTTACTTTTCTCCAAACATAAAAAAATATATCAAATGAATCTGAATCCACAAGGATTACAGTGCTATTTTTTTGAGGAAAATGAAGGCAAATCTTCATTTGTTTTGCCTGGTCCTTCAAACACAGACAGTGCTTAGACCTGAGAATAAATAGGATATTAATTGTTTTGTGCTTTCAGATTGAGGGAAGTAATCCTTGGTATGATCTGAGCAAGCAGCAGTACCAACCTCTTTGGTCCCAAGTATGTTTTCATGATGCAACTGAAATTTAACTAGTCAAACTTTACTGTTTATTTATAATTAAAGTTGAAAACACTGAGTGTACCAAATGAGATGAGAATCACTAGCCCTGAATAATATTTAAGTTTATCCTTGTGAGCCTCTCCTCCAAAGATCATTCTGGTTCTGTGACATGTTAATGTGCCACATTTTCTGCACAGTGTAAGCCGAAAAAAAGAATATATGTTATTCTAGGTTACATTATTTTACTTTTATCTTAATTGATCTATAGTTACATATATATTTAAATAGCAATATTCAAATTACATATATGGGAAGGTTATGTCTGGTAGTGGAGAGACATCATCATCATCACTGAACTAGTTAGTATTCACATAGAGGTGACCCATGAACAACGTGGGGGTTACGGGCATCGACCTTTCCCCATGCAGTTGAAAATCCATGTATAACTTTTGACTCTCCAAAAAATTAACTACTAAGCACCTACTGTTGACCAGAAGCCTTATTGCTAACGTAAACATAGATTAGCATGTATTTTGTATATGTATTATATACTGTATTCTTATAATAAGGTAAGCTACAAAATAGATAGTGTCATTAAGAAATGAATCCTGGAAATGGGAAGTACAATGCCTGCACTTTAAAGGAGGGGTTTGGGATATTGGCAGTTTGGAGGGATATGTTGTGTATCTTTATATGTGTATGCTTTTAGACTGTTGTATTCTGAGCACCTCTGCAAAAACAGTGATAATGTGCGAATGTGGTGAAAGTGTTGAATGATGATGAAAGTATTTTCTTTTTGGGGATTTTCTTTCTTTTTTTGGGTCACCCTGCCTCGGTGGGAGACGGCCGACTTGTTGAAAAAAAAAAAAAAAAATTAAGAAAATCATAAGGAAAATACATTTACAGTACTGTACTGTATTTATCAAAACCATAAGTTTACGTTGTCTGCTTACAAGATGAATTGTCTGTCTGTTCAGTACCTACATCAGTATTATAATATATAATATCTTTATTTGTAGGTAGTAGGTTGGTAGACAGCAACCACCCAGGGAGGTACTACCGTCCTGCCAAGTGAGTGTAAAACGAAAGCCTGTAATTGTTTTACATGATGGTAGGATTGCTGGTGTCTTTTGTCTGTCTCATAAATATGCAAGATTACAGGTACGTCTTGCTACTTCTACTTACACTTAGGTCACACTACACATACATGTACACGTTTATTTATACACACTCATCTGAGTTTTCTTTGATTTTATCTTAATAGTTCTTGGTCTTATTACTTTTCCTTTTATATCCATGGGGAAGTGGAATAAGAATTTTTCCTCCGTAAGCCATGCGTGTTGTAAAAGTCAACTAAAATGCCGGGAACAATGGACTAGTAACCCCTTTTCCTGTAAAGATTACTAAAAAGAATAAGAAGAAGAAAATTGTCAAAGTGGGAAGTCTGAATGTGCGTGGATGTTGTGCAAATGATAAGAAAGAGATGATTGTGGATGTTATGAATGAGAAGAAACTGGATGTCCTGGCTTTAAGTGAAACAAAGCTGAAGGGGGTGGGAGAGTTTCAATGGAGAGGAATAAATGGGATTAGGTCAGGGTTTCAAATAGAGTTAGAGCTAAAGAAGGAGTAGCAATAATGTTGAAGGATAAGCTATGGCAGGAAAAGAGGGACTACAAATGTATAAATTCAAGGATTATGTGGAGTAAAATAAAGATTGGATGTGAAAAGTGGGTTATAGTAAGCGTGTATGCACCTGGAGAAGAGAGAAGTGTAGAGGAGAGAGAGAGATTCTGGGAAATGTTGAGTGAATGCGTGGGGAGTTTTGAATCAAGTGTGAGAGTAATGGTGGTTGGGGATTTCAATGCTAAAGTGGGTAAAAATGTTATGGAGGGAGTAGTAGGTAATTTTGGGGTGCCAGGGTAAATGTAAATGGGGAGCCTTTAATTGAGCTATGTGTAGAAAGAATTTGGTAATAAGTAATACATATTTTATGAAAAAGAGGATAAATAAATATACAAGGTATGATGTAGCACGTAATGAAAGTAGTTTGTTAGATTATGTATTGGTGGATAAAAGGTTGATGGTAGGCTCCAGGATGTACATGTTTATAGAGGGGCAACTGATATATCGGATCATTATTTAGTTGTAGCTACAGTTAGAGTAAGAGGTAGATGGGAAAAGAGGAAGGTGGCAACAACAAGTAAGAGGGAGGTGAAAGTGTATAAACTAAGGGAGGAGGAAGTTCGGGCGAGATATAAGCGACTATTGGCAGAAAGGTGGGCTAGTGCAAAGATGAGTAGTGGGGGGTTGAAGAGGGTTGGAATAGTTTAAAAAATGCAGTATTAGAATGTGGGGCAGAAGTTTGTGGTTATAGGAGGGTGGGGGCAGGAGGAAAGAGGAGTGATTGGTGGAATGATGAAGTAAAAGGGTGTATAAAGAGAAAAAGGTAGCTTACGAGAGGTTTTTACAAAGCAGAAGTGTTATAAGAAGAGCAGAGTATATGGAGAGTAAAAGAAAGGTGAAGAGAGTGGTGAGAGAGTGCAAAAGGAGAGCAGATGATAGAGTGGGAGAGGCACTGTCAAGAAATTTTAATGAAGATAAGAAAAAATTTTGGAGTGAGTTAAACAAGTTAAGAAAGCCTAGGGAAAGTATGGATTTGTCAGTTAAAAACAGAGTAGGGAGTTAGTAGATGGGGAGAGGGAGGTATTAGGTAGATGGCGAGAATATTTTGAGGAACTTTTAAATGTTAAGGAAGAAAGGGAGGCGGTAATTTCATGCACTGGCCAGGGAGGTATACCATCTTTTAGGAGTGAAGAAGAGCAGAATGTAAGTGTGGTGGAGGTACGTGAGGCATTACGTAGAATGAAAGGGGGTAAAGCAGCTGGAACTGATGGGATCATGACAGAAATGTTAAAAGCAGGGGGGGATATAGTGTTGGAGTGGTTGGTACTTTTGTTTAATAAATGTATGAAAGAGGGGAAGGTACCTAGGGATTGGCAGAGAGCATGTATAGTCCCTTTATATAAAGGGAAAGGGGACAAAAAGAGATTGTAAAAATTATAGAGGAATAAGTTTACTGAGTATACCAGGAAAAGTATACGGTAGGGTTATAATTGAAAGAATTAGAGGTAAGACAGAATGTAGAATTGCGGACGAGCAAGGAGGTTTCAGAGTGGATAGGGGATGTGTAGATCAAGTGTTTACATTGAAGCATATATGTGAACAGTATTTAGATAAAGGTAGGGAAGTTTTTATTGCATTTATGGATTTAGAAAAGGCATATGATAGAGTGGATAGAGGAGCAATGTGGCAGATGTTGCAAGTATATGGAATAGGTGGTAAGTTACTAAATGCTGTAAAGAGCTTTTATGAGGATAGTGAGGCTCAGGTTAGGGTGTGTAGAAGAGAGGGAGAATACTTCCCGGTAAAAGTAGGTCTTAGACAGGGATGTGTAATGTCACCATGGTTGTTTAATATATTTATAGATGGGGTTGTAAAAGAAGTAAATGCTAGGGTGTTCAGGAGAGGGTGGGATTAAATTATGGGGAATCAAATTCAAAATGGGAATTGACACAGTTACTTTTTGCTGATGATACTGTGCTTATGGGAGATTCTAAAGAAAAATTGCAAAGGTTAGTGGATGAGTTTGAGAATGTGTGTAAAGGTAGAAAGTTGAAAGTGAACATAGAAAAGAGTAAGGTGATGAGGGTATCAAATGATTTAGATAAAGAAAAATTGGATATCAAATTGGGGAGGAGGAGTATGGAAGAAGTGAATGTTTTCAGATACTCGGGAGTTGACGTGTCGGCGGATGGATTTATGAAGGATGAGGTTAATCACAGAATTGATGAGGGAAAAAAGGTGAGTGGTGCGTTGAGGTATATGTGGAGTCAAAAAACGTTATCTATAGAGGCAAAGAAGGGAATGTATGAAAGTATAGTAGTACCAACACTCTTATATGGATGTGAAGCTTGGGTGGTAAATGCAGCAGCGAGGAGACGGTTGGAGGCAGTGGAGATGTCCTGTCTAAGGGCAATGTGTGGTGTAAATATTATGCAGAAAATTCGGAGTGTGGAAATTAGGAGAAGGTGTGGAGTTAATAAAAGCATTAGTCAGAGGGCAGAAGAGGGGTTGTTGAGGTGGTTTGGTCATTTAGAGAGAATGGATCAAAGTAGAATGACATGGAAAGCATATAAATCTATAGGGGAAGGAAAGAGGGGTAGGGGTCGTCCTCGAAAGGGTTGGAAAGAGGGGGTAAAGGAGGTTTTGTGGGTGAGGGGCTTGGACTTCCAGCAAGCGTGCATGAGCGTGTTAGATAGGAGTGAATGGAGACGAATGATACTTGGGACCTGACGATCTGTTGGAGTGTGAGCAGGGCAATATTTAGTGAAGGGATTCAGGGAAACCGGTTATTTTCATATAGTCAGACTTGAGTCCTGGAAATGGGAAGTACAATGCCTGCACTTTAAAGGAGGGGTTTGGGATATTGGCAGTTTGGAGGGATATGTTGTGTATCTCTATACGTATATGCTTCTAAACTGTTATATTCTGAGCACCTCTGCAAAAGCAGTGATAATGTGTGAGTGTGGTGAAAGTGTTGAATGATGATGAAAGTATTTTCTTTTTGGGGATTTTCTTTCTTTTTTTGGGTCACCCTGCCTCGGTGGGAGACGACCGACTTGTTGAAAAAAAAAAAAAAAAAATCTTTATTTACTACAAGTACGTGTACAAGGTATACAGGCCTAGCTGACATCAATGACATACTACTGCATAGAAAGCCCCTTGTCATGCAGAGCATCTCGGGCAAATTAGGTCAGTTTTGTTCCAGGATGTGACCTGCACCAGTCGACTAACACCCAGGTACCCATTTTACTGATCGGTGAACATAGACAACTGGTGTAAGGAAACATGTCTAATATTTCCACCCCTTCACTGGGAATGGAACCCAGACCCCTCACCATGTGAAGCGAGAGCTTTTGCCACCAGGCCACGGGGCATCGTATTGTCTTATATGATACAAAACACTGTAGATGTTAGATGTATTACGAACACTCAACATTAAATATGAAAAGAAAATTCATAATTATTTGTGATTTAATATAGCATCTTTGTATTTGTTTACATTTCTCTCGACTGCAAATGGAACATGTATGATCTGTAATAATATATCGTTCTTTTTATTTCCCAATGGGAAAGTGGAGAAGAACCGGTTCTGCATAAATTACTAAATGTAAAAAGAAGAAAAACTTTTGTTTCTTTTTTGGGTCACCCTGCCTTGGTGGGAGACAGCCAGCATGTTAAAAAAATTATTATTATTAATGTTGTTATATATATTATTTTTCTCTCTTTCAACACACCAGCCATATCCCACCGAGGCAGGGTGACAAGTAATTATTTTTTTTTTAATTATTATTATTATTATTATTATTTTTAGTTATCTATTATTTTTTTTTTTCCAACAAGTCGGCCGTCTCCCACCGAGGCAGGGTGACCCAAAGAGAAAGAAAATCCCCAAAAAGAAAATACTTTCATCATCATTCAACACTTTCACCTTACTCACACATAATCACTGTTTTTGCAGAGGTGCCCAGAATACAACAGTTTAGAAGTATATACGTATAAAAATACACAATATATCTCTCCAAACTGTCAATATCCCAAACCCCTCCTTTAGAGTGCAGGCATTGTACTTCCCATTTCCAGGACTCAAGTCCGGCTATATAAAAATAACTGGTTTCCCTGAATCCCTTCACTAAATATTACCCTGCTCACACTCCAACAGATCGTCAGGTCCCAAATACCATTCGTCTCCATTCACTCCTATCGAACACGCTCATGCACGCTTGCTGGAAGTCCAAGCCCCTCGCCCACAAAACCTCCCTTACCTCTTCCAACCTTTTCAAGGACGACCCCTACACCGCCTTCCTTCTCCTACAGATTTAAATGCTCTCCATGTCATTCTACTTTGATCCATTCTCTCTAAATGACCAAACCACCTCAACAACCCCTCTTCAGCCCTCTGACTAATACTTTTATTAACTCCACACCTTCTCCTAATTTCCACACTCCGAATTTTCTGCATAATATTTACACTGCACATTGCCCTTAGACAGGACATCTCCACTGCCTCCAACCGTCTCCTCGCTGCTGCATTCACAACCCAAGCTTCACACCCATATAAGAGTGTTGGCACTACTATACTTTCATACATTCCCTTCTTTGCCTCCATAGATAACATTTTTTGACTCCACATATACCTCAATGCACCACTCACCTTTTTTTCCTCATCAATTCTATGATTAACCTCATCCTATTATTATATTATTATTATATTATTGGGTCTTTACATTTGTTAACATTTCTCTCGACTGTGAATGGAACAGGTACAATCTGTAATTGTTTGTGTACATAAGTTTTGATCAATTTTAACTTTTTATAATAGATTTGTGTATATTTTATGGTATTAAATGATAAATTAGACTAGTATCTACATACATGTATATTTTATGCATTCATGATATACCTAACTTTTGCTTATTTTTTTCTGTTGTAAATCTCCAAAAAAATTTCCAATATATTGAAAAAATTTCACATAGGTGGACCCATGCAGTTCAAGCCCATGTTGTTCAAGGGTCAACTGCATTCTTTATTTTGGAGGATGGGTTGAAATACTTTTGGTAACAGTGGACAGTATGACTAGTATGTTTTAGCCCCCATGCAAATGTCTGGTAGTTTTCACCCATAATTATCACATGCTAATGCTCTTAGATCCACTGAGAAAGCTGGAATTGAAACCAACAGTGAGCCAGTCCTAAAATAGCAGGCCATGGTACAGTGGTCAGCACACTGGCCTACTAATTTCATGACTGTACATCTCTTTTGGGAGGATAGTAAAAGAGAAATAATTTAGCAAAGAATGTAATAGGGGTAATAATTACTAGATCCTACTTAAACTGCAGCATTTTTGTAAATTTGATTCGTTAATTAAACTCCTGATCTCTGATTTAAAAAATTGTTGTATACCTCAGATTCCCAATTAGCATTGATTATAACATAAATAATCTACATTGTATCTTTATGGGCTTAGGAACAAGGCTCTGCCACAATGACCCTTGAAACAACTGAAGCCTTCACTGGCGGTGGCTGCTTACGACTAACCACAGTCTCTCCTTCAACTGTCAGGTACTGTAAAATACTTGAAAAATTGTTTAGCATGTAAAGTAAAATATATAAGTACAGTGAGAGAGAGACGAGGTGAATCATAGAATTGAATAAGGAAAAAGGTGAGTGATGCATTGAAGCACCTCTGGAGACAGAGAACATTTTCCATGGAGGCAAAAAGGGGGATGTACGAGAGTATAGTGGTACTAACACTTACATGGGTGTGCAGCATGGGTTGTGAATGTTGCATTGAGGAGGAGGGTGAAGGCAGTGGAGATGATGTGTTTGAGGGCAACATGTGGTGTGAATATTATGCAGACAATTTGTAGTTTGGAGACTGGAGGGAGGTGCAGGGCTGCTAAGAGTATTATTATCCAGAGGGCTGAGAAGGGGTTGTTGAGGTGCTGGACATGCTGTTGAAGTGTGAGCAAAGTAACATTTATGAAGGGATTCGGGAAAACTGGTTAGCCACGCTCGAGTCCTGGAGGTGGGAAGTACAATGCCTGCACTCTGAAGGAAGGGTTAATTTGATTGTGATATCAGCACACTTCTGGAAACACAGCAATTGAGTGAATGTTGGTGGATGTGTTTTCTTCTTTAAGGTTCCCTTCCTTGATGGGAGGCAGCTGATAAGTTTTATGCATGTGTATAGGACTTAAGTATGTTTAGCAGTGATTGGTCAAGACCTGTAGAATAAATAATTACATTAGTCCACCGGGTGGCGCCCTGGCCACATCGTCCAGTGTGTGTAAATGAGTAAGGTGCAGCAGCTTGGCTGTCACTCACCCTCCCTCCCAAGCTACAGTCTGGTCTGCACCAACCCTCACCAGGAGTGAGGGAGAAAGTGAGGAAGAAAATGGAAGAGATTGAGGCAGTCCAGTTGCTGCCACCTGTGTAGTGTTGTCAGATATGGTAGGAGAGAGGGTGGGAGAGAAAGAAAGAGTGGGCAAAAGAGAATGCAAGAGAAGGAGGGAGGCTAGAGAATGGGAGAGGGAGGAAAGGGAATAGAGGAGGACTCATGTAAGTAGTATCATAAAATATTTTTTATTTCATTATTAAAACTAAATTAAATTAAACCCATAATTTTATGCTTCAGGAAATCATCTTTGATTATAACATGGATGTCTATGGAAAACTGGGTTCTGAGTTCTGAACATCTGTATAACAAATGATTTTCAGGTGTACCATAACATCATAAGTTGGCATCCCAGCTGTACTGTGGTGAGGGTCACAGATAACACTCAGAATATTCTTACATGTTATTACTGTCCAGTGTAATACATTTTTTTTTTTTTATTATCACTGGCCGATTCCCACCAAGGCAGGGTGGCCCATAAAAGAAAAACTTTCACCATCATTCACTCCATCACTGTCTTGCCAGAAGGGTGCTTTACACTACAGTTTTTAAACTGCAACATTAACACCCCTCCTTCAGAGTGCAGGCACTGTACTTCCCATCTCCAGGACTCAAGTCCGGCCTGCCGGTTTCCCTGAACCCCTTCATAAATGTTACTTTGCTCGCGCTCCAACAGCACGTCAAGTATTAAAAACCATTTGTCTCCATTCACTCCTATCAAACACGCTCACGCATGCCTGCTGGAAGTCCAAGCCCCTTGCACACAAAACCTCCTTTACCCCCTCCCTCCAACCTTTCCTAGGACGACCCCTACCCCGCCTTCCTTCCACTACAGACTGATACACTCTTGAAGTCACTCTGTTTCGCTCCATTCTCTCTACATGTCCGAACCACCTCAACAACCCTTCCTCAGCCCTCTGGACAACAGTTTTGGTAATCCCGCACCTCCTCCTAACTTCCAAACTACGAATTCTCTGCATTATATTCACACCACACATTGCCCTCAGACATGACATCTCCACTGCCTCCAGCCTTCTCCTCGCTGCAACATTCATCACCCATGCTTCACACCCATATAAGAGCGTTGGTAAAACTATACTCTCATACATTCCCCTCTTTGCCTCCAAGGACAAAGTTCTTTGTCTCCACAGACTCCTAGGTGCACCGCTAACCCAGTGAATTGCCATTAGAACTTGACTCTAGAGCATTCTGATTTAAACCATGTAAACTACATCATGCTACTCTAATCTGTATAAACTACATCATGCTACTCTAATCTGTATACACTACACCCTTCTTTAATCCATGTAGACTACTGGTACATCATTTTGATTTAATCCATGGAGTCTACATTTGTTTCAGGTTATTCGTGTGTGGAATAAGCTGGAGGGTGGCACTAATTGTGTCATTGTGTTACAAGTGGTGTGGGCCAGTTGTTCCCTTCAGCCTTGAGCTACATCTGGGTCCAGCCACAGTCACCAGTGATACACCTGTAACACAAAGGCAAAGTTCATGTTCATTATCTTCGTTGATTAAATTTTATCGAAAAAATTCTGTTTTCCTGGGGAGCCAAGAGACAATTTGTTTTTTAAATCCTTATCATTCAGCCTTGGTCTTGTCTGAATTTGACTACAGGAAAGTTTCTAAAGTGTGGATTAAGTTGGAAAAAAAAGTGGCCTTGCTTAGTACGTAGATACTAAGAGAAAAAAGAAAGCCTCCTGTGCTATTAAATCATGTGTGAGAAGAAAGGAAAGTCTTCACAATAGTGTATGCTAAGTATGCTAAGTGCTTCATAAAAATGTTTGGTTGCAAGGGCTCATCAGCTGATCATTTAGTCATGGGAAGCTACTCGGCTGTCTCTGCACAAATTATTTTCTGAGGACAGTTATAATCCTGATCAAGTTTTTTAATATTGTCAGGTGCAAAAATAAAAGAAAACTACTTGGTATATATTAAGCTGTCTAAAATGAAGCCTTATTTGACTCATTCTTCACCCCACATAATACAATTTTTAATTACATGCCTATTTTTCAGTAATGTATTCCCTGTGTTTTGCAAGGGTAACTGTATTAATTATTAATCCTTTGCTTTTCAGGATAGTAACTCTGATATGTGAGAATAACTCTGGAAAACTTGAGGATAATGCTCATATTGAAGAGAATGAAAATTTGGCATCAGGAAATTCACTTGAAAGCACAGAGCAAGTAATGACAGAAAATCCTGATCAACCACCAATGGTGGTAGATACTGAAGAAAATGGATGGACGATAAGGTTAGTTTGCATATATCATTTTATTTAGCTTGTAGAAGTGTGGTTGTGAGATAGGATAAGCATATTTTTACAAATTGAAGTAAAATGTGAGAGAGTACAAGCTTATTTTACAAGTTTGAGTGCGAGAAGTGAAATTTATCCAGCTCCAATACAACATTCTCGGCTTTACAGCAGTGTCACATATATCAAAGTGAAAGTTTGTGGTGGGGGAATTTTAGGTAAACCAATATCTGTGGTGGAGTCATAATGAGACTGTAGTGTTGCAGTTTGGAGAGACATCTGAACTGATGTCAGCACACTTCTGGCAAGACAATAATTGAATGATTGATGGTGAATGTGTTTTCTCATTTTCTTGGTTCACAACACATTGGTGAGAAATGATTGGTGTGTTAAAAAAAAAATACTCTAGATCTTCAAATCTTTTGTGCATTATATTATAATAGTTCTTTTATAATAAAAAGGACTTGTAAATCTTTTGAATTGTTATGTATGTCTGTACACCTCTGGCAAGACAGCTGTTGAATTAATAATGATTTTTTTTGGACAATCCCTGCCATGGTGCCAGATGGCCAGTATGATAAAAAAAAATATAATTTAAAATGGATTTTTTCCATCTTTTTAGGATATGCATTAATTAGCTTAATTCTTTATACTCAGATCATTCTCAATTAAAGAAGTGGAAGGAAATGAATTAAAGCAAATAGACCTTAAACTAGAAGGAGCCTCATCAGTGTTAGTTGGAGAACTGGACTTAACTAACCGCTGTATAAAAGGTCTTGGTTAGCCGAGTTGTGGCTTGGCAAAGTATGTATTGTACAGTAAACCCTCGATTTAATGGACCTCCATTTATGGGCTTCAAATAATATGGGACAGAATCTGCTGAACTGTAGTATCGGCACACCTCTGGCAAGAGTGATGGAGTTAGTGATGATGAAAGTGTTTATTCTTTTTTGGGTCACCCTACCTTGGTGGGAAATGGCCGATGTGCTAAACACAAAGAAAAAGTGTGGTGTCAACTGACTCGGAAACAGTGGACAAAGTCCATTAGTCACAGAAGTGCTGAGTAATGTTACAATCAGATTCACTTCTATCACCACAGTCACCATTACTGGCCATCCTCTTACCCTTATTAGTCCATTAAATTGTGACTTTACTATGGGTTTCCATTTACTGTTTTAAGTGCTTGTGGTTTTTAAACAAAATATTTAAATTTAATATAAATTTTTTATGAGGTGAAATATTGGCTTATATAGACACCTGCTTGAAAGCCTTCATTCATGAAAAAAATTATAAACACGATTACGCTCCTGAATTTTACTTAAGTTGTGGAGAAAATAATTGCAATGATTTATGTAAATAAAAAATTTTATTTTATGGGCCAGAATATAAAGAGACATGGTACCAATTTGTCAAGCCACCTAATTGTTGTCACTAGACTCTCCAGTATCAGATAAAAACGTTCAACTTCCATGTTAACTACAGTATTAACAACTATATATACTGTATTATACAATTTTTGACTTTGGTTTATGCAAATTATTTTATTCTTTACCCTTCAAGGGGATTCTTTGCTGCAATGAAAGGCTCTTGATACAGTGAATCTGAGTTACCTCCCTTTCCTTGGATCAGTCCTAAATGCCCCATACCCCTTTTTCTCCCATAAATAGTGGGGATGTTTTTTCATCAAAAAATTTTGTGACTTAAAGCCTGTGCCTTGGCTTAAACTGTGGCACGTGCCCATGCGCCATGATTGCTACTAAAGTCACTGATGCTGATACCACTGAGTGAGAGGGCAGTGAGAGGTGCAGTGGTTCGCTGCTCACACCAGATGATCTTCCCCACCTCTGCACATATTTCAGTTTCTTTCTTCCTCCTCATGCCTCACCCAGTTTATTGTCTAGATAACATGTGCATAATCCTGTTTAAACAAGATAATAATAGTGATATGCTGTATATTTTTGTAACTCTCTCAGAAGCAGGTAAACTCTACTGTATGTGATATTTAATTCAGTATTAGAGTGCATAATAAAGGGATGAGGAATCCCAGCCTTGTGCTTTGGTGAGAAAATCATAGCAGTTGGACAGGGTCTTTTCACATCATTAATATCTTGGACTAAGAAAGGACAGATGAATAAAACATGTTCAACACTTAGGTATCTTTATTGTGGAGATGTTTCACCCAGCAGTGACTTTGCCAATTCAAAATTGAGAATAATAGGGGAGACATCAGAAGAATGTCTACACAGTATCTCGTGTCTTATTCATTTACTTGTCGGTTTTGTATGCCATTAATACATGAGGGGACAGACGTGTCGTACCATGCTCTGGCTTACAGTAATTAAAATTAGTGTTACTGTACTCCAGGATGATTTGAATAGACTGATGCAGTGGTCGGAGAAGTGGCAGATGCAGTTTGATATAGACAAATGCAAAGTTCTAAATGTTGGACAGGACAATGACCATGCCACTTATAAACTAAATAGTGTAGATCTTAATACTACTGATTGCAAAAAGGATTTAGGATTTCTGGTTAGCAGTAATCTGAAACCAAGACAACAGTGCATAAGTGTTCCCAATAAACTTAACAGAATCCTTGGCTTCATATCAAGAAGTATAAATAATAGAAGTCCTCAGGTTGTTCTTCAACTCTATATATCCTTGGTTAGGCCTCATTTAGATTATGCTGCACAGTTCTGGTCACCATATTGCAGAATGGATATAAGTGCACTGGAAAACATACAGAGGAGGATGACAAAGCTGATCTCATGTATCAGAAACCTTCCCTATGAGGATAGACTGAGGGCCCTGAATCTGCACTCTCTAGAAAGGCGTAGAATTAGGGGGGATATGATTGAGGTGTATAAATGGAAAACAGGAATAAATAAAGGGGATGTAAATAGTGTGCTGAAAATATCCAGCCAAGACAGGACTCGCAGCAATGGTTTCAAGTTGGAAAAGTTCAGATTCAGGAAGGACATAGGAAAGCACTGGTTTGGTAATAGAGTTGTGGATGAGTGGAACAAACTCCCGAGTACCATCATAGAAGCTAAGATCTTGTGTAGTTTTAAAAATAGGTTGGATAAATACATGAGTGGGTGTGGGTGAGTGTGAGTTGGACCTGACTAGCTTGGGCTACCAGGTCTGGTGCCATGCTCCTTCCTTAAGTGGAAGTGACCTGACTAGGTGGTCATTGTTCTAGGCCAGGGGGTGGCATGGCATGGACCTGCTTTGCATGGGTCGTTAGGCTTGTTGCAGTGTTCCTTCTTTCTTATGTTCTTCTTATGTAATTGTATGTGCCTATGGAATATTTATATCTTGTGATTTTATATTATTATTGTGTGTTTTAACCAGAAAGTATTGAGAGAATTTTTTTTTATCTCCAGTGGTATGTAAGTTTACAGTGTAATAGGATTAAGTAATATATTGTGTGCATTGTTATCTGTATGTTTTACTAACCACTTATTTTGTATTCATTGCTGTATACAGTATAATGTTTGCCACAACACTGAGTAGTGGTTATGCTGAAACTAGTCCATCACCAGGAGTGAGGATTTCTTAATACTATTTATGCTCATAATTGTTAGATCAGTTTTACAGTACTGTCATCATACTGCAGCTGAGCTGGAAATTGTTCTTGTTCTTGTGCCATACGTTATCACATGCACCTCTCATTGTGGAATTTTCTTTAAGAGGTTTAATCCCATCTTATCTATAAGTCATATCCTCTTATAGAAAACTGAAGCACTTCTTCCCTTTCACATATCAGACATGTCTGATCATAATCCCATGCCTAAAGCCTCACTGCTAAACTGGAGTAAAAAGTTAGTTCCATTTGTCAAGAGATATCCAAGGCAGAAGTGATTGGAAGGAACAATTATCAGTTAGGTTTATAGAGAAAACTGCTAATAAACCAAGGTAGAGTACTGCCCTGGTCCAGCATTCTTGGCTTTTAGCATAGGTAGGGTTGGGAGTGTGTGTTGATTTTTTTTTTCCAACAAACCATCAGTATCCCACCGACAGGGTGACCTAAAAAAGAAAAACAAGTCTCCCTTTTAAATTTAGTAATGTATACAAGAGAAGGGGGTTAGTAGCCCCCTTGCTCCCAGCATTTTAGTCGCCTCTTACAATATGCATGGCTTACGGAGGAAGAATTCTGTTCCACTGTGTGTTGATTATTTATTTATTTTTTTTTTTTATTATCACACTGGCCGATTCCCACCAAGGCAGGGTGGCCCGAAAAAGAAAAACTTTCACCATCATTCACTCCATCACTGTCTTGCCAGAAGGGTGCTTTACACTACAGTTTTTAAACTGCAACATTAACACCCCTCCTGTGTGTGTTGATGTAGTTTTTATTTATTATTTTTAATGCAGTAGCTTTATCTCACCAAGGTGAGGTGACCAAAAAAAAAAATTGACATTATTCATTCAACAGCTGTCTTACCAGAAGTGTGGAGACATCACAATTTTAATGACTCTGTGAACTGCAGCATTTCCACCTCTCCGTCAGTGCAGGCACTGTATTGTCCCTCCAGGACTCAAGTCTGGCTGACTGCTGTTCCTGCATCCCTTCATAAATGCTACTTTGCTTACCCTCCAACAGCACCACAAACCATAAAAACTACTTTTCTCCACTCATTCTGATCTAACACACTTGCACAAGTATTCTCCTTACAAAATTTAAAGTGGTCAGGTTAGTTGCACAGTGTCCACGAACAGTGTTGTGTGACCAACATGGGCTTGGCACTTGTTGGGTTTATTATATTGGTCTGGGAGCATTGCTGAGGTGCTGCTTCATCTGTTGAAATCTTGGGTACGAGACAACTTTGCATGCACTTATCAGGTTAGAGATGGCTGGAAGTGGGTCAGCAAGAAATGATGCACCAACATTTTCTCTTGATGATAGCGTGATTACCTAGTTATAATTACAGGAGCAGAGCAGCAGTCAACTAATACCCAGATGCATTTGTTCCTATAAGTTCACAGGCTTTAGTATTTGTGAATTTTGATAATTCAGTCTATTTGTGGGCAACCTGCAAACAGATTGAGTTATCCAAAGTTGTTCTGGTTCAGTGATCTCAATGATTTCTTACACTATATCTATTTTTTATTCTGGTCATTATTTCTTGTGACTGTCAGTATTAACTCGAGTTGAGCAACGTATTACTAACATATGATCTTTTGAAACACAGAATGAGCCCAAATTTGAAAAAAATATGTCAAGCAGACTTAATTTTGTATTTGCAGTACATAAAGTATTCACAGTTTCTTACTTTGTGGAACCTCTAGGAACATAATCCTTTGTGAATTTGTAGAGATGACTACCTGTTGATTCTTAGGTGAACAGAGGCACTAGGTACAAGAAGACTTGCTCATACATCCAGCCTTACCAGGGAATTGAACTCAGAATTTTTTTATTGTAAGCATAATGCTTTAACCACTAAGCTACAAGTCAGAGGTTAGAGGAAAGTTATTGTGGTATAAGCAAACCAGTAATGTGAGGAGGCTACAGCATGTTCTCAAAGCAAGATTTTTTCCTAGGGTCACAGAATAGCAACTGCTACTCTGGGACACAACAAAGTTGCTAAAAAAATAATTTACATTGTTTAGGATCCTCTCCTTGAGCAAAAATCAGCTGGAATGCCACAGTTTTTGCTTTCTATGACCTAACTCTGAGTGTCAAGTGGAACTTTGGCCATTTCCTGAATGACAGCTGCTGTTGGTGCCTAAGATGAACACTTTTCAGCTTCCTTCATCCTATTTTATTAATTTTTTATGGCCTTGACATAGCTGTCAAGTATCAGGAAGTTCCATTTAATTAAGACATTCTTTTGATAATTTTGTTTTTTTTCCGTGTATCATTCTGTTTCCAGTTGACTATCCCTAATAGAGTATCCAAGGTCTAAGCCTCTCTGTTGTTGCCTCTTCAGTCATATCTGCCTTGGTAAAATTGTATTTTAGCTTAGGAATGGTAATAAGGAGTTGCTCTGACAAGGCAGTGAGAGAGAAGAAGGTAAGGAAAAGACTTGCATGTCTCTGTGAGTAAGAGAGCTAAATTAGTGGAGACTACATTTGGAAGGTTACCATATGTGGGTTCAGACAAAATGGCTCACAACCTATGATTGCCTTTGTTAAGTGTTTAGGGGATTATTTCTCCCATGTCCTGGTCTCAGACCAATCTTCTCATTTATTGGCCTGGCCAGGGCCAGACGGAAATTTGAGTTCCCCAGACAGGTTTTTTTTTTTGTTCTGGCATCCTTACAGTCAGGTACCATTATTTTTTAAATATTTATTCAGCACTTCATACATGGTTTTCATATTTTGCTGCATGAAAATTTTGATTGTCTTGTAATATTGCTTTTGCATGCATTAAAGTAAAGGGGGCCAGGTTTTTGAGATACAAGGATACCTTCCTTGGACTGCACAGAAACTGAAATACATCTCTCACTGATGTTTGGAACTCCTTATAGGTCAGTGCCCTAGATAGCTGGCCTGACCTTTAATCCTGCTTTGGCTGGTCAGTCACTTGGTGTTCTCAGTTCAATATAGGCATTGCAGCCTGGTTAATCAGGCATGATCTTAAGTAACTTGAATTCACTCTTGAAGACGGTCAGGAGAGTCAGTTAATAATCCCTTTACAGGATTTGTAACAGTTACGTGAAACTGAATTCGCTCTTGAAGACAGTCAGGAGTCTGTTAATAATCCCTTCACAGGATTTGTAACAGTTATGTGAAACTGAATTCGCTCTTGAAGACAGTCAGGAGTCTGTTAATAATCCCTTTACAGGGTTTGTAACAGTTATGTGAAACTTAACCATTCACTAATAACCAGGGATTTCTGTATGTTTAGAATTTATAAGAAGTGAATTGAAGTTTTCATCATAATTAGTGTGAAACAATACTTTTTTTATTACAAGATTTTTATTTAGGATATTAATATTTTTCAGGCTGTGAAGTCTTTATTGGTTACTCGAAAGTTTTCATTACAGCCATATACAATACATTGTTTACCACTACAATAATCTCATAAGGTAGTGCTGTTAAACATACAAATACTGAGAAGCTATACAATAAAGTTATATTAATATCACCTGTAAAATAAAACACAAAAACTAGCTAAGTTTATGCTCTTAGGAAAGACAATAAATTTAGCAACAGGACATGAAAAAGTTTACAGAAGTCTGGTAATGTTAACACTTTTAGATCCCAAACTCTAGGGGGCTCTCAAATCAAACTGTTAATTTATCTTTATATAAAAAAAATTATTATCCACATTCTGAATTGTAGATCATGATAAATTGCAAAAAAAAAAATGTTAAAAGTATCTCATTCAAAAAAACCTTGTACCTAATGTGGAAATGGTATAATATTTGATTAATACTGTACTGGATATTTCCCCAGACTGAATTAATAAAATCTTTGTTTGTACATACAAAATTGTGTAGAGGTGTATTTTCAGTTTGCAAGATTTCAGTAATATATTAGAAAAATGAGGCAAGTGGTTTTTATGACATAACATGCAGGTTAACATTTATGAAGAGGTTCAGGGAAACCAGTTAGCCGGACTTGAGTTCTGGAGATGGGAAGTACAGTGCGTGCACCCTGAAGGAGAGGTGGAGGATGTTGCAGTTCGGAGAGCCATATGAACTACAATGTCAGCACTTCTGGCAATACATTTATTGAATGAATAACAATGAGTTATCCATTGTTTGGGCCACTCTACCTTGGTGGAAGTTAACCTGTGTATTATAAAAATTAGAAAAAGAAATATGAATGCATCATGTTTTCTACTTTTTTATGGTTTCTACAACACATAAGCTTTAGTAGTTATATTCATTTAGTGCATCCCCTGGATAATCTCGCCTTTCAGCATTTTGCGGTCAAAGATATATTCTGCCATAGCATATGCTGACTCATTATTAGTGTAACCTCGGGTCAAATCATTAAAGGCACGAATAGCTCCCTGAAGCTTGCGAATGCCATCATGCTGCTCCTCCAGAATAGGATTGGTGAATACATCAGCTGCATGGTAGTCATTTTCACAATTCTTCACCACTTCGTAAATCTTTACTGTCACCTGTCAAAAAATACATATACAGGTACAGGCAGTTAATATACACATACACAAAAAAATTTGTTCAAGATCAGCTGTAGTACTGTATAATATTATAAGTAGTAGGTTGATAGACAGCAACCAAACAGGGAGGTACTACCATTCTGCCAGGTGAGTGTAAAATGAGAGCCTGTCATTGTTTTACATGATAGTAGGATTGCTGGTGTCTTTTGTCTGTATCATAAATATGCAAGATTACAGGTACGTCTTGCTACTTCTGCTTACACTTAGGTCACACTGCACATACATGTACACGTTTATTTATACACACTCATCTGAGTTTTCTTTGATTTTATCTTAATAGTTCTTGTTCTTATTACTTTTCCTTTTATATCCATGGGGAAGTGGAATAAGAATCTTTCCTCCATAAGCCATGCCTGTTGTAAAAGTCAACTAAAATGCTGGGAACAATGGGCTAGTAACCCCTTTTCCTGTACAGATTACTAAAAAGAAGAAAATTGTCAAAGTGGGATGTCTGAATGTGCGTGGATGTTGTGCGAATGATAAAAAAAGAGGTGATTGTGGATGTTATGAATGAGAAGCTGAAGGGGGTGGGAGAGTTTTAGTGGAGAGAAGTAAATGGGATTAGATCAGGGTTTTCAATAGAGTTAGAGCTAAAGAATGAGTAGCAATAATGTTGAAGGATAACCTATGGCAGGAAAAGAGGGAGTATAAATGTATTAATTCAAGGATTATGTGGAGTAAAATAAAGGTAAAATAAAATAAAATAAAGGTAGTAGGTTGGTAGACAGCAACCACCCAGGGAAGTACTACCGTCCTGCCAGATGACTGTGAAACAAAAACCTGTAACTGTTTTGCATGATGGTAGGATTGCTGGTTTTCTTTTTCTGTCTCATAAACACGCTAAGATAACAGGGATATCTTGCTACTCCTACTTACACTTTGGTCACACTTCACAGACACGCACATGCATATATATATATACATACATCTAGGTTTTCCTCCTTTTTCTAAATAGCTCTTGTTCTTTTTTATTTCTTCTATTGTCCATGGGGAAGTGGAAAAGAATCTTTCCTCCGTAAGCCATGCGTGTCGTATGAGGCGACTAAAATGCCGGGAGCAATGGGCTAGTAACCCTTCTCCTGTATACAATTACTAAAAAAGAGAAGAAGAAAAACTTTATAAAACTGGGTTGCTTAAATGTGCGTGGATGTAGTGCGGATGACAAGAAACAGATGATTGCTGATGTTATGAATGAAAAGAAGTTGGATGTCCTGGCCCTAAGCGAAACAAAGCTGAAGGGGGTAGGAGAGTTTCAGTGGGGGAAATAAATGGGATTAAATCTGGAGTATCTGAGAGAGTTAGAGCAAAGGAAGGGGTAGCAGTAATGTTAAATGATCAGTTATGGAAGGAGAAAAGAGAATATGAATGTGTAAATTCAAGAATTATGTGGATTAAAGTAAAGGTTGGATGCGAGAAGTGGGTCATAATAAGCGTGTATGCACCTGGAGAAGAGAGGAATGCAGAGGAGAGAGAGAGATTTTGGGAGATGTTAAGTGAATGTATAGGAGCCTTTGAACCAAGTGAGAGAGTAATTGTGGTAGGGGACTTGAATGCTAAAGTAGGAGAAACTTTTAGAGAGGGTGTGGTAGGTAAGTTTGGGGTGCCAGGTGTAAATGATAATGGGAGCCCTTTGATTGAACTTTGTATAGAAAGGGGTTTAGTTATAGGTAATACATATTTTAAGAAAAAGAGGATAAATAAGTATACACGATATGATGTAGGGCGAAATGACAGTAGTTTGTTGGATTATGTATTGGTAGATAAAAGACTGTTGAGTAGACTTCAGGATGTACATGTTTATAGAGGGGCCACAGATATATCAGATCACTTTCTAGTTGTAGCTACACTGAGAGTAAAAGGTAGATGGGATACAAGGAGAATAGAAGCATCAGGGAAGAGAGAGGTGAAGGTTTATAAACTAAAAGAGGAGGCAGTTAGGGTAAGATATAAACAGCTATTGGAGGATAGATGGGCTAATGAGAGCATAGGCAATGGGGTCGAAGAGGTATGGGGTAGGTTTAAAAATGTAGTGTTAGAGTGTTCAGCAGAAGTTTGTGGTTACAGGAAAGTGGGTGCAGGAGGGAAGAGGAGCGATTGGTGGAATGATGATGTAAAGAGAGTAGTAAGGGAGAAAAAGTTAGCATATGAGAAGTTTTTACAAAGTAGAAGTGATGCAAGGAGGGAAGAGTATATGGAGAAAAAGAGAGAAGTTAAGAGAGTGGTGAAGCAATGTAAAAAGAGAGCAAATGAGAGAGTGGGTGAGATGTTATCAACAAATTTTGTTGAAAATAAGAAAAAGTTTTGGAGTGAGATTAACAAGTTAAGAAAGCCTAGAGAACAAATGGATTTGTCAGTTAAAAATAGGAGAGGAGAGTTATTAAATGGAGAGTTAGAGGTATTGGGAAGATGGAGGGAATATTTTGAGGAATTGTTAAATGTTGATGAAGATAGGGAAGCTGTGATTTCGTGTATAGGGCAAGGAGGAATAACATCTTGTAGGAGTGAGGAAGAGCCAGTTGTGAGTGTGGGGGAAGTTCGTGAGGCAGTAGGTAAAATGAAAGGGGGCAAGGCAGCCGGAATTGATGGGATAAAGATAGAAATGTTAAAAGCAGGTGGGGATATAGTTTTGGAGTGGTTGGTGCAATTATTTAATAAATGTATGGAAGAGGGTAAGGTACCTAGGGATTGGCAGAGAGCATGCATAGTTCCTTTGTATAAAGGCAAAGGGGATAAAAGAGAGTGCAAAAATTATAGGGGGATAAGTCTGTTGAGTGTACCTGGTAAAGTGTATGGTAGAGTTATAATTGAAAGAATTAAGAGTAAGACGGAGAATAGGATAGCAGATGAACAAGGAGGCTTTAGGAAAGGTAGGGGGTGTGTGGACCAGGTGTTTACAGTGAAACATATAAGTGAACAGTATTTAGATAAGGCTAAAGAGGTCTTTGTGGCATTTATGGATTTGGAAAAGGCGTATGACAGGGTGGATAGGGGGGCAATGTGGCAGATGTTGCAAGTGTATGGTGTAGGAGGTAGGTTACTGAAAGCAGTGAAGAGTTTTTACGAGGATAGTGAGGCTCAAGTTAGAGTATGTAGGAAAGAGGGAAATTTTTTCCCAGTAAAAGTAGGCCTTAGACAAGGATGTGTGATGTCACCGTGGTTGTTTAATATATTTATAGATGGGGTTGTAAGAGAAGTAAATGCGAGGGTCTTGGCAAGAGGCGTGGAGTTAAAAGATAAAGAATCACACACAAAGTGGGAGTTGTCACAGCTGCTCTTTGCTGATGACACTGTGCTCTTGGGAGATTCTGAAGAGAAGTTGCAGAGATTGGTGGATGAATTTGGTAGGGTGTGCAAAAGAAGAAAATTAAAGGTGAATACAGGAAAGAGTAAGGTTATGAGGATAACAAAAAGATTAGGTGATGAAAGATTGAATATCAGATTGGAGGGAGAGAGTATGGAGGAGGTGAACGTATTCAGATATTTGGGAGTGGACGTGTCAGCGGATGGGTCTATGAAAGATGAGGTGAATCATAGAATTGATGAGGGAAAAAGAGTGAGTGGTGCACTTAGGAGTCTGTGGAGACAAAGAACTTTGTCCTTGGAGGCAAAGAGGGGAATGTATGAGAGTATAGTTTTACCAACGCTCTTATATGGGTGTGAAGCGTGGGTGATGAATGTTGCAGCGAGGAGAAGGCTGGAGGCAGTGGAGATGTCGTGTCTGAGGGCAATGTGTGGTGTGAATATAATGCAGAGAATTCGTAGTTTGGAAGTTAGGAGGAGGTGTGGGATTACCCAAAACTGTTGTCCAGAGGGCTGAGGAAGGGTTGTTGAGGTGGTTCGGACATGTAGAGAGAATGGAGCGAAACAGAATGACTTCAAGAGTGTATCAGTCTGTAGTGGAAGGAAGGCGGGGTAGGGGTCGGCCTAGGAAGGGTTGGAGGGAGGGGGTAAAGGAGGTTTTGTGTGCGAGGGGCTTGGACTTCCAGCAGGCATGTGTGAGCGTGTTTGATAGGAGTGAATGGAGACAAATGGTTTTTAATACTTGACGTGCTGTTGGAGTGTGAGCAAAGTAACATTTATGAAGGGATTCAGGGAAACCGGCAGGCCGGACTTGAGTCCTGGAGATGGGAAGTACAGTGCCTGCACTCTGAAGGAGGGGTGTTAATGTTGCAGTTTAAAAACTGTAGTGTAAAGCACCCTTCTGGCAAGACAGTGATGGAGTGAATGATGGTGAAAGTTTTTCTTTTTCGGGCCACCCTGCCTTGGTGGGAATCGGCCAGTGTGATAATAAAAATAAAAAAAATGTGAAAAGTGGGTAATAGTAAGTGTATATGCACCTGGAGAAGAGAGAAGTGTAGAGGAGAGAGAGAGGTTTTGGGAAATGTTGAGTGAGCATGTGGGGAGTTTTGAACCAAGTGTGAGAGTACTTGTGGTTGGGGATTTCAATGCTAAAGTGGGTAAAAATGTAGATGGAGTAGTAGGTAAATTTGGGGTGCCAGGGGTAAATGAAAATGGGAAGCCTTTAATTGAGCTATGTGTAGAAAGAGGTTTGGCAATAAGTAATACATATTTTATGAAAAAGAGGATAAATAAATATACAAGGTATGATATAGCACGTAATGAAAGTAGTTTGTTAGATTATATATTGGTGGATAAAAGGTTGATGGGTAGGCTTCAGGATGTACATGTTTATAGAGGGGCAACTGATATTTCAGATCATTATTTAGTTGTAGCTACAGTTAGAGTAAGAGGTAGATGGGACAAGCGGAAGGTGGCAACAATAAGTAAGAGAGAGGTGAAAGTATATAACTAAGGGAGGAGGAAGTTCGGGTGAGATATAAGCGACTATTGGCAGAAAGGTGGGCTAGTGCAAAGATGAGTAGTGGGGGGGTTGAAGAGGGTTGGAATAGTTTTAAAAATGCAGTATTAGAATGTGGGGCAGAAGTTTGTGGTTATAGGAGGGTGGGGGCAGGAGGAAAGAGGAGTGATTGGTGGAATGATGAAGTAAAGGGTGTGATGAAAGAAGAAGTAAAGGGTGTGATAAAAGAGAAAAAGTTAGCTTATGAGAGGTTTTTACAAAGCAGAAGTGTTATAAGAAGAGCAGAGTATATGGAGAGTAAAAGAAAGGTGAAGAGAGTGGTGAGAGAGTGCAAAAGGAGAGCAGATGATAGAGTGGGAGAGGCACTGTCAAGAAATTTTAATGAAAATAAGAAAAAATTTTGGAGTGAGTTAAACAAGTTAAGAAAGCCTAGGGAAAGTATGGATTTGTCAGTTAAAAACAGAGTAGGGGAGTTAGTAGATGGGGAGAGGGAGGTATTAGGTAGATGGCGAGAATATTTTGAGGAACTTTTAAATGTTGAGGAAGAAAGGGAGGCGGTAATTTCATGCACTGGCCAGGGAGGTATACCATCTTTTAGGAGTGACGAAGAGCAGAATGTAAGTGTGGGGGAGGTACGTGAGGCATTACGTAGAATGAAAGGAGGTAAAGCAGCTGGAACTGATGGGATCATGACAGAAATGTTAAAAGCAGGGGGGGATATAGTGTTGGAGTGGTTGGTACTTTTGTTTAATAAATGTATGAAAGAGGGGAAGGTACCTAGGGATTGGCAGAGAGCATGTATAGTCCCTTTATATAAAGGGAAGGGGGACAAAAGAGATTGTAAAAATTATAGAGGAATAAGTTTACTGAGTATACCAGGAAAAGTGTACGGTAGGGTTATAATTGAAAGAATTAGAGGTAAGACAGAATGTAGGATTGTGGACGAGCAAGGAGGTTTCAGAGTGGGTAGGGGATGTGTAGATCAAGTGTTTATTTATTTATTTATTTATTTATTTATTTCCAATTTGAGCACACATACAGAGGTACAAAAAAAATACAGATAAGAGCAGCATGCCAAAGCCACTTATACTATGCATAGCATTACGGGCTGGCTTAAAATTAACTTAAGATTAACTAAGCAATGATGAAATCAGTGATAAAACATTAATGTAAACAGATTACTATAAAGCACAAGTGAGTATTACAAAGACAGGTCATATGGTTGCATTCAGTTATGTAGTGATTCTGTTAGGTAGTGTATTTAAAAAATAATACATTGAAGCATATATGTGAACAGTGTTTAGATAAGGGTAGGGAAGTTTTTATTGCATTTATGGATTTAGAAAAGGCATATGATAGAGTGGATAGGGGAGCAATGTGGCAGATGTTGCAAGTATATGGAATAGGTGGTAAGTTATTAAATGCTGTAAAGAGTTTTTGTGAGGATAGTGAGGCTCAGGTTAGGGTGTGTAGAAGAGAGGGAGACTACTTCCCGGTAAAAGTAGGTCTTAGACAGGGATGTGTAATGTCACCATGGTTGTTTAATATATTTATAGATGGGGTTGTAAAAGAAGTAAATGCTAGGGTGTTTGGGAGAGGGGTGGGATTAAATTATGGGGAATCAAATTCAAAATGGGAATTGACACAGTTACTTTTTGCTGATGATACTGTGCTTATGGGAGATTCTGAAGAAAAATTGCAAGGTTAGTGGATGAGTTTGGGAATGTGTGTAAAGGTAGAAAGTTGAAAGTGAACACAGAAAAGAGTAAGGTGATGAGGGTATCAAATGATTTAGATAAAGAAAAATTGGATATCAAATTGGGGGAGGAGTATGGAAGAAGTGAATGTTTTCAGATACTTGGGAGTTGACATGTTGGCGGATGGATTTATGAAGGATGAGGTTAATCATAGAATTGATGAGGGAAAAAAGGTGAGTGGTGCGTTGAGGTATATGTGGAGTCAAAAAACGTTATCTATGGAGGCAAAGAAGGGAATGTATGAAAGTATAGTAGTACCAACACTCTTATATGGATGTGAAGCTTGGGTGGTAAATGCAGCAGCGAGGAGACGGTTGGAGGCAGTGGAGATGTCATGTCTAAGGGCAATGTGTGGTGCAAATATTATGCAGAAAATTCGGAGTGTGGAAATTAGGAAAAGGTGTGGAGTTAATAAAAGTATTAGTCAGAGGGCAGAAGAGGGGTTGTTGAGGTGGTTTGGTCATTTAGAGAGAATGGATCAAAGTAGAATGACATGGAAAGCATATAAATCTATAGGGGAAGGAAGGCGGCGTAGGGGTCGTCCTCGAAAGGGTTGGAGAGAGGGGGTAAAGGAGGTTTTGTGGGCGAGGGGCTTGGACTTCCAGCAAGCGTGCGTGAGCATGTTAGATAGGAGTGAATGGAGGCGAATGGTACTTGGGACCTGACGATCTGTTGGAGTGTGAGCAGGGTAATATTTAGTGAAGGGATTCGGGGAAACTGGTTATTTTCATATAGTTGGACTTGAGTCCTGGAAATGGGAAGTACAATGCCTGCACTTTAAAGGAGGGGTTTGGGATATTGGCAGTTTGGAGGGATATGTTGTGTATCTTTATACGTATATGCTTCTAAACTGTTGTATTCTGAGTACCTCTGCAAAAACAGTGATAATGTGTGAGTGTGGTGAAAGTGTTGAATGATGATGAAAGCATTTTCTTTTTGGGGATTTTCTTTCTTTTTTGGGTCACCCTGCCTCGGTGGGAGACGGCCGACGTGTTAAAAAAAAAAAATCTTTGTTTACTACAAGTACATGTACTTGTAGTAAATAGAGGCTAAAGAGGTCTTTGTGGCATTTATGGATTTGGAAAAGGCATATGACAGGGTGGATAGGGGAGCAATGTGGCAGATGTTGCAGGTGTATGGTGCAGGAGGTAGGTTACTGAAAGCAGTGAAGAGTTTTTATGAGGATAGTGAGGCTCAAGTTAGAGTATGTAGGAAAGAGGGAAATTATTTCCCAGTAAAAGCAGGCCTTAGACAAGGATGTGTGATGTCACCGTGGTTGTTTAATATATTTATAGATGGGGTTGTAAGAGAAGTAAATGCGAGGGTCTTGGCAAGAGGCATGGAGTCAAAAGATAAAGAATCACACATAAAGTGGGAGTTCCCACAGTTGCTCTTTGCTGATGACACTGTGCTCTTGGGAGATTCTGAAGAGAAGTTGCAGAGATTGGTGGATGAATTTGGTAGGGTGTGCAAAAGAAGAAAATTAAAAGTGAATACAGGAAAGAGTAGGGTTATGAGGATAACAAAAAGATTAGGTGATGAAAGATTGGATATCAGATTGGGGAGAGAGAGTATGGAGGAGGTGAATGTATTCAGATATTTGAGAGTGGACGTGTCAGCGGATGGGTCTATGAAAGATGAGGTGAATCATAGAATTGATGAGGGGAAAAGGGTGAGTGGTGCACTTAGGAGTCTGTGGAGACAAAGAACTTTGTCCTTGGAGGCAAAGAGGGGAATGTATGAGAGTATAGTTTTACCAACGCTCTTATATGGGTGTGAAGCATGGGTGATGAATGTTGCAGCGAGGAGAAGGCTGGAGGCAGTGGAGATGTCATGTCTGAGGGGAATGTGTGGTGTGAATATAATGCAGAGAATTCGTAGTTTGGAAGTTAGGAGGAGGTGCGGGATTACCAAAACTGTTGTCCAGAGGGCTGAGGAAGGGTTGTTGAGGTGGTTCGGACATGTAGAGAGAATGGAGCGAAACAGAGTGACTTCAAGAGTGTATCAGTCTGTAGTGGAAGGAAGGCGGGGTAGGGGTCGGCTAGGAAACGTTGGAGGGAGGGGGTAAAGGAGGTTTTGTGTGCAAGGGGCTTGGACTTCCAGCAGGCATGCATGAGCGTGTTTGATAGGAGTGAATGGAGACAAATGGTTTTTAATACTTGACGTGCTGTTGGAGTGTGAGCAAAGTAACATTTATGAAGGGGTTCAGGGAAACCGGCAGGCCGGACTTGAGTCCTGGAGATGGGAAGTACAGTGCCTGCACTCTGAAGGAGGGGTGTTAATGTTGCAGTTTAAAAACTGTAGTGTAAAGCACCCTTCTCGCAAGACAGTGATGGAGTGAATGATGGTGAAAGTTTTTCTTTTTCGGGCCACCCTGCCTTGGTGGGAATCAGCCAGTGTGATAATATAAAATAAAAAAAAAACATGTACAAGGTATATAGGCCTACCTGACATCAATGACATACTACTATATAGAAAGCCACTTGCTATGCAGAGCTTTTTGGGCAAATAAGTCAGTTTTGTCCCAGAATGCAAGCCACACAAGTCAACTAATGCCCAGGTACCCATTTTACTGATGGGTGAACATAGACAACCGGTGTAAGGAAACATCCCCAATGTTTCCACCCCATCGCTGGGAATCAAACCCGGACCCTCGCCATGTGAAGCGAGAGCATTTACCACCAGGCCACGGGGCACCAGAATAAGATACAATAAAGAAGCTTGGGTATAAGTGGTTTAATGTATATTTGCCTAAAATAACTAATTGCTAAATATACTGTACATCTTGATTTAGAGGAACTCCCAATAGATTTGACTTTACTGCTTTTACACCATTTTAAATATTGGGAGAAACATTAGACTGAACATTACTCAGTATGGTAATGTCATACTGTGCATTATTATGGTACTGTTCAATCACAAACCTGAATTTCCATATCGAGAGCGTCCTGTAAAGCTTTGTCGTATGTCATGTTTTTAATTCCATTGATCTGAAAGTCAAACAATAAATTATTTTACTGTGTATGAATACATGTACATTAAATACTGCCTTAAAAAATATTGCCCAAATTTTTAAAGTTATTAATTTTTTTTTCAACAAGTCGGCTGTCTCCCACTGAGGCAGGGTGACCCAAAAAGAAAGAAAATCCCCAAAAAGAAAATACTTTCGTTATCATTCAACACTTTCACCTCACTCACACATAATCACTATCTTTGCAGAGGCACCCAGATACAACAGTTTAGAAGCATATACAGTGTATAAAGACATATAACATACCCCTCCAAACTGCCAAGTAAAAATAAAAGAATACTGTATATACGGGTGCTCCTCGACTTACGATAGTTCAGCTTATGATATTTTGACCATGATGATGCCAAGGCAATTACTGTACATACTTTGGAGATGAAACATAATTACCGAGCTATAATATATTGAACAACCATGGCGACATTATACTATTTAATATACAGTAGCAATATGATTTATTATCTGAGAAATTGAGGAAAAACAGGTACTGTATTTTATTTTTGCTTGACGATAGATTCAAAATGAAGGCAAGTGTTATATAGAAGTCTAGGAACATGATCAGTAAACAGAGGGAGAGTTGCTTTAGTGGCTGGAATGCCTACAATGTTTGTTTTGGACTATTTTTAAATTGGAATTTGTTGAAATTAGTGTATAATTGGCTAAATTACTGATCGAGGACTAAGTGGTTAGTTTCTTGCAATCGCTGAATAATATAGAAGGCATACCAGTATGTAGTTTGAAAACTGTTATTGGTCTAAAATAGGCCTCAAATTGAACAAAATTACTGTTACATCAAATGGTCTTCAACCTCCAATTCCACATCTGTGTAACTATGTAAGAATCACATCAATTTTTCCATTTCTGGTGTCATTACCTTTAGAAAAAAGATTCTGTACAATTTTAGAAGATAAAATTATTTTTTTTTATGTTTTGAAAACAGCAACACAAAAGGGGCTTTCAATTTGGGAAAGGGTGGGTATTGACAGTGAAAGGGTTAATAACAATATCATAGAACAACTCAAATCTTGTATCAGCACTAAAAGTATTTATTTTATAGTGTATCAATGCAAACTGCATATGAAAGCATGAACTGACCTTTTCAATAGTTTTAAAGTTGTAGGCAGGGCTGGTCATCATACTTGACTTGATACCCCGAGTGTTGAGGTAGTCTAACATCTGGATGGCATGGCTTCGCTCTTCTGTTGCAGCTTCCAGCAAGAACTTGGAAATACCTGGTCTGTCTATTGTGTACTGGCCAAATTGAACTCCCTAAAATAAATAAAAATTGAATAACCTCAAGGGCTTACCAGAAGCATGACAAAAAACATGTTTTTTTTAGTAAAAGAATATTCATGTGAGGAATCCCAACTAAAGAACAAGTTGCATTCCTGGTCTTCCAGTTTGGATAGTGCTGAATGAACAAAAGAATAGGTAGGGACTCGAACCTTCATCAGTGCAAAATGTGGGCCCAATACTGTAACCACTTATCAAATCAAATCAAAAGTTTATTTCTTTGTAAAGGTTACAATGTGTTTACATTTCATAATTTGACTGGTACAAAGAAAGCCACTATCATGCTGAGGTATTTCAAGCAGACTTAACCTAATACTTAGACTAGTACTTAAGTCTAGACAAACTTCAAATATTCAACATTTTACTCAGTTTTTAATATGAGATAGTAGAATTTCTGACACAAATATACATTTTTAGGTTTGTAATAATATTTGGGAGAGTTGCTTCTAATTTGGTTAGAGATTAGCATAGTGTGGGTATAGTTATTATTGAGAGATGAGATGATTTTTAAGTATAGTCCTACATTGATTTGTGGGCAGGGGACCTTTTGCTGGTTCAGGCAAAGAGTCCCAGATCTTCAAGCTCTTTATTTGCATTGAATTTTTGCACAGTGTGAGACGGACACGAGGGATGTCAAAACGTGTTTTGTGCCTGTGATATGTGTGTGTGTTCTGTTGTAACTGTCTAGGAGACGTTTGAGCGGAGGGTTTATATTGGAGTTTAATGTTCTGTATATATAGTAGGCACAATAATAAGTGTGCATATTTTGTATACAGCTTCTCCTCACTTAACGACAGAGTTCCGTTCCTGAGACCACGTCGTTAAACGAATTCGTCGCTATGTAAGGACCATACTATAATGGTAGTGGGTTTGTGTCAACCAACTTTGATATTGTTTTAATGTCACCTTTGCACCATTTACAACATTTTGGTATATTTTTAAATGTTTATACAGTAGTGTACTGTATACTGAAATAAGCATAATAGAGGAAATCAGCTCTAATATACATTATTTAGGTATAAATACTGGTCAGAGAGCCCGTCGTATGTCTGAGGTGTTGGTAAACAAGTACATCGCTAAGTGAGGAGAGGCTGTATTAAGTAAGTTCAAGCTCTTGAAGAGTGGTGAGGTGTGTTGTTTGGCATAGAAATTTGTGATCATCCTCACCACAGTTTTTTGTTGGGTTATTAAAGGTTTAAGGTGATGGGCCGTGGTAGATTCCCAAGCACAAATACCATAGGTGAGGTAAGGGTATATTAGAGAGTGATATAAAGTAAGGAGCACCATTTGGGGTACATTGTATCATATCTTGGAAAGGATGCCTACTGTTTTGGAAACTTTCTTAGTTATATGCTGGATGTGGGTCTGAAATTTAAGACTGCAGTCAAGGTGGAGACCTAGAAATTTGCCCTCAGTGTATCTGGAGATTTAGTGCTGGATATTTAATGCTCTGTTTGGAAAAAAACATAAATAGGTTTTGTCTGTATTGAGAGTGAGTTTGTTGGTCATCATCCAATTTGATATTTCATTAGCTCACTGTTTACAGTGTCACTAAATATAGCCGGGTTTTGGTGGGAGATGATGTAAGTGGTGCCATCTGCAAATAGAACTGTTTCAGGAGTCAAGATGCATTTGGGAGGTCACTGATTTAAATAAGAAAGAGCAGAGGACCAAGGACACTTCCCTGTGGTACTCCAACAACTACAGGCTGAGTATTGGAGGTCATTTGTATATACATGTACATACTGGTGTCTATCACTAAGATAAGATTTTAGGTAACTGAGGGAGTATCCTGATCCCGTAATGTTCTAGTTTTAGGTGCAAGATATTGTGGTCTACTGTATCAAATGCTCTCCGTAGGTCTTTGAAGAGCCCCAGAGGATATTAATTTTTTCAAGTGCTGTACATGTATATAGAAGTTCGAGCATCTGAATAACAGCATCATTTTTGCTTTTTTTTCGGCCTAAACCCAAACTGGCAGGGGTTCAGTATGTGATGAGATACGAGGTAGGAGTAGATTTGTTTATGTATTATTTTTTCGAAGATTTTAAGAGTGTAGAGGCAAGTTAGATATCGATGAATGGTTCAGAGAACCGATAGTTGATAAATTAGACACGTGTGCAACACATGAGTATCTAATACAGGGGATTCTTCACTTGCCTAACCTTTAGGCACGACCTACTTCCACATTTGTCATATGTGACACCACCTATGACTGCTGCATCTTTCCTGCCTACAGTATATAAGTCACTTCTTCACACATATGCTGTATTCTTTTCAAGATTGGTGGACTGATTACATCAACTCAAGGCTGAGGGACTGATTACCTCAAACTCCTCCTGTTCTTCACCATTCTCCTTGGTATGGACTGATGAAGCCACTGTGTGGCAAAACGTTTCCTCATTAAAGATACCAAAGTGTTGCACGTGTCTAATTTATCAAGTTAGATATTGGTCTGTAGTTATTTAGTTCTGTAGGATCACCTCCTTTGAGGATCAGGGTAACCCTAACTGTGTTGAGTATGAATGGAAATGTTGAAGATTCAACAAATTTGTTAAACAGTGTTGCAATAATGGGGGACAGCACATGAACTGCTTTTTTATATATGATTGGGAGACTTCAGTAGGATTTGTTGGTGTGAGATACAGAGTATTTGGGTAATTACCGGCAAGGTAGTCTTATGGCTGAGTATTTGCGTTTAGGATTTTGCTTGCTAGCTTTAATTATATACACAGCAGAAAAGAAGACATTAAGTTTGTTGGCAGTGTCTACAGGCTGTATGTGATTTGTCTGTTTTCCCTAAATTAATCTGTTTCTAGACAGTTTTCTAGAGCCCAAAATTTCAGTGAGGGTTTTCTAGGTCTTTTTCTAATCACCTTTTATGTCATTAAACCTGTTTACATAATACATTTGTTTGGACTTCCATATTAGCTTAGTGAGTATTGATGCATATCGTTTAGTTAGTTCTTTTGTTAATAGGCCCTGTCTGAATTGTTTTTCATATAGTTTTTTTGTCGATGGAATTAAGTGTACTATTTGTAAGCCATGGGCTGTTTAGTCTCTTTGCTGAGATCTGCTTCGTTTTCATTGGACAATATCTATTATAGAGGTTTTGGGTTCTGTGTAGAAATATTTTGACACGTTCATCAATATCATGGCTGTCTGCTAGCTCACCCAGCCAGTCATTGTTACATAAGGCAGTTATAAAATTATTTACTGATGGCCCATCATGTAGTTGAAAAGATTTTAGTCATGTCCTTAGGAAGTCTACCCAAGTTGGTTATGTGAAAAGTTGGGTAGTGGTCCATAGTGTTGTCTGTGAATATCCCTGCTTTTAGTGGGGACATATTATTGGTCCAGATATGATTGGGTAATGAAGCACTTGTCTCTGTGATTCCAGCAAGCAGTTGCTCATAGTGTTTATGAAATCAGTTACTTGGGGGGTCAGCTGCTTGGCTGAGGTTTATATTAAAGTCACCAGCAAGTAACAGGTGGTGTTTATTCATCTCTGAGTCAGTTATTGTGTTCCTTAAGTATTAGTGTGAGGTGATCTGTAGACTGCTCCAACTGCTATGTTTTTTTTTTAGGTTTTTGGATGTGAATTTGGCCAATATATATTCACCATATTCACTTAGCTACATAGCTTACAATAGGATGATTCTTCAGCAGCACTTCTGTGAAAAGACTGCATCAGTGGCACCAACTGTCACCCTACTTCCTCTTCCCACAGCCCAAGAAGCTTTCATGGTACATCTACACTAATAACCCTCAAAACTATATAGAGTTTATAAACTCAAGTTTTAGTAAATGTCTGTTTATTCATTGACATTAGTACAAGAAGTAATAATTCATGCTAAGCATTACCTAAACCCATGTCGGCCCTTCAACACAAGACAACGTGGAGGCTTGATCCTCCATCTGCTGAGCATGAGACACACTACCTATTTGTATTCACCTACATGGGTGACATTAGTACAAAGGATGGCTGTGTGTGACACTTGTAACTGCAGAGTGACATCTGTAAGATAACTATGTATTACATATTTCTCATGGAACTTGTTCGTAAGTGATGATGCTCATTTTATGTAATTTTGTGAAATGATGGAGATGAACTTCCTTCTGAAGCCTACTCCATTCGTCCTTCTGAGACTGAATCCCTTAACTTCTTGTGGGAGGTTTCTTGATATCTAAGGAATTGGACATGTATGCTCTCTCTTGCCTCGGATTGAACCTGAATGCCTCTCATTCTTCATGCACTGTATGACCCCTGCGAGTTTAAAACTCCCCCATCAATGTAATAATAATGAACCCCCAAAACCTCCTGATGAGACCCAGGAGTGTGACAGTCCCTGAATATAAGAAGAATAATAATATAATTCTGCTGCGCGGTCAGCAGTACATGACCTACCAGTTTCTTATAGAGGTATTCCATGTACGGACTATTTTGCTGTAATATCTTCCCACCTTCACACCCGTTGGCAACAACGTTGGTCTACTATGCTCGACAACAAACTTCAGTCTATTAAACCGAGTATAGGTTACTGGCCGTCTTCTTAACACCAGTGTCGAGGTTGGGAGACTACTCTCTCCCGTCTTCGCATTGGCCATACTCGTCTTACTCATGGATATCTCATGGAGAGGCGTCTTGCTCCTCTCTGTGAGAATTGCCAAGCTCCATTATCAGTCAGCCACATTCTGTTGGACTGCCCACTTTATCAACGAGCACGCAGAATTTACCTCTGTCGTCGTTTTCGCCCCGCTGCTCTCTCTTTACCTTCCCTTCTCGCTGATGGACCCACCTTTCATCCGGACTCTCTCATTGACTTTTTGACAACGACTGACTTACTTCACAAATTCTGATACTTTCAGCCCTTTCTACTTGAATCTCTTGCTACGCTCTACCCCCGTACTATCCCCTGCCCCGCTGTTTTCTGTAACCTGCTGATCATCCCCCCTCCCTTCTGCCATCCAATTCCCTTGCTTCCTTCCCTACCCTGCAGCGCTGTATAGCCCTTGTGGCTTAGCGCTTCTTTTTGATTATAATAATAATAATAATAATAATATAATTGCCCTCACCATCAACATGTATGTAAATGCTGCATTCAGTTCATGCTGGATGTGGTCATTAATGGCAGTAGTACAGGCTGAGATGTGGCAAACTTCCTTCGGGTAACCTGTAAAGGAAATATTTATTAGAGGTAATCAGTCCCCTAGCCTGTACCTTTCTCAAAGATTGATAGACTGAACACATTGACTCCAGGCTCAGGGACTGATTACCTCAAACTCCTCCTCCTCCACCGTTCTTCTCTGTAATGAACTGAAGAAGCCACTGGCTGGCAAAACGTTTCTTTAATAATGGTTCTCAAGTGTATCAAAAGCGTACCATTCTTCAACAGTAGGGTTGTAACAAAAACACCTTTTACTATTCCCTATTGAGTGAATATTATTAATTTACTTGTACCCTCCTTACCAGTAGTAGCTACACAGTTGAATTCCCCCGATGCAGACTGGGAAGCCATGCAACCTGTTGAACAGAAAAAAAACAATGTTGTTATTTTACACGTCTGTCATTTCCTGCCAAGGTAATGACCTAAAGATGGGTTTTTGATTCCCCGAACTGGGGCTACTCTACGGTTTCTACCTTTCCCTTCATTACCTCTTATTCCTCAGGCGATGTATGATCCCTTGCTTACAAATTTTACAGTAATAATGCAGCTATCCTCCAGGAAATATGCATACGTAACATCAGATACCCTCCACACCACATTACTCTTCCTTCAGAGTGCAGGCACTATTTTTGTGAATTCAACTCCAGCTAACTGATTTTCCTAAATGACTTACACCACATGTAGTCAATGGTGGACCTACATTTTTGGGACCCTGAAGCTTGAACTGTTACAGCTAGCCTACATGGTACTTTAATAGCCTTTTAATTTTAGCTATTATTTTGTATTGAATTCCACTATATTATTAATATTATTATTAAAAAAAAGAACCTTCTCATACGGTAGACCCAAAAATTTTAAGCAGTGTGGACTAAAGTCTCTTCTGGGGCTCCTTCGGGATTAGGGGCCCTGAAGCTTAAGCTTCATTAGTTTCATAGTAGATCCGTCCCTGCATGCAGTGACTACCAAACTATGCACTGTCAATAGCTGAAAACCCCATACAATAACTACTACACCATATACTGTGAATACTAAACCAAGCAGTAGATGACTGCTAAACCACAATGACTAAACCACACACACTGAATAACTGCCCGAAATGCCCCAGGATGATAAATTACACATAGTAAACTATGCAAAGAAATAAAATCCTTAATCCTCAAGTAAATCACACTGAATAACTAAATTACACAAATAAACTTTATTTCCTTCTGCAATATTACAAAATGTAGTTTACATGAACTAAAATATTAAGTACAAAAGAAAGCCACTAACATGCAGTGCATTTCGGGCTTGACTAAACCACACACGGTGAATGACTGAACTACACACGGTGAATGACTGAACTACACGCGGTGAATGACTAAATCACACGTGGTGAATGACTGAACTACACGCGGTGAATGACTGAACTACACACGGTGAATGACTAAACCACACGCGGTGAATGATTGAACTACACGCGGTGAATGACTAAACTGTGGAAAATACTGTATATTTTCCGGAAATACGGTAATTTATAGGTAAATAGATGCCCTATATTGTATTAATAAAAGTGTATTTTTAAAAGAAGGGACAGTCGCCATTTTTGTTTGAATTGAATAACACGTTGTGAGTAATGGGAAGAATTTTTCGTGCTCTAGAGGTTAAATTTGGGCTGACACCTCTCAAATAGGAGGCGAAATTGGTGGATGTGCATTCCTGCATAACTTGAGATATCAGACGACTGGACGACAGCTCCAGGAACCTCAGATAAGCTCTCTAGATTTGTGTATAATTCTGGCCAGTGTTTTCATAAATTTATTAGTGAGGTTTTTCTGAGTATGATACAACTTAATCTCCAGTCAAATTGGTGAGTGATATTAAGATATTCTCTTTCTGTTAGGTAATTGTGTATATCTATAATTATTCTTTAATTTTTAATATACAGTCCACAAATTTATATATTTACCAGTATTCCTGGTGTATGTATATTTCATTTAATTAATAGGTCCAGAGCAACTTGTGGATATGACAGTGGTAGGTATCGAAGGGGGACATTTTTGCGACCTAGGTGTCCCAAATTCCTACTTGTCTATGTAACTCTGATAAATAATAATTATCTTTGTTATCATTGTCTGTTATGTATATAATGAGTTACATTCAGATAAATGCAATTTTCCATATAAACCATACGCGGTGAATGACTGAACTACACACGGTGAATGACTGAACTGCACGCGATGAATGACTGAAATACACACGGTGAATGAACTACACGTGGTGAATGACTGAACTACACACGGTGAATGACTGAACTACACGCGGTGAATGACTGAACTACACGCGGTGAATGACTGAACTACACGCGGTGAATGACTGAACTACACACGGTGAATGACTGAACTACACACGGTGAATGACTGAACTGCACGCGGTGAATGACTGAACTACACACGGTGAATGAACTACACGCGGTGAATGACTGAACTACACACGGTGAATGACTGAACTACACGCGGTGAATGACTGAACTACACGCGGTGAATGACTGAACTACACACGGTGAATGACTGAACTACACACGGTGAATGACTGAACTACACACGGTGAATGACTGAACTGCACGCGGTGAATGACTGAACTACACATGGTGAACTACACGCGGTGAATGACTGAACTACACACGGTGAATGACTGAACTACACACGGTGAATGACTGAACTACACACGGTGAATGACTGAACTGCACGCAGTGAATGACTGAACTACACATGGTGAACTACACGCGGTGAATGACTGAACTACACACGGTGAATGACTGAACTACACGCGGTGAATGACTGAACTACACACGGTGAATGACTGAACTACACACGGTGAATGACTGAACTACACACGGTGAATGACTGAACTGCACGCGGTGAATGAACTACACATGGTGAACTACACGCGGTGAATGACTGAACTACACACGGTGAATGACTGAACTACACACGGTGAATGACTGAACTACACACGGTGAATGACTGAACTGCACGCGGTGAATGACTGAACTACACATGGTGAACTACACGCGGTGAATGACTGAACTACACACGGTGAATGACTGAACTACACGCGGTGAATGACTGAACTACACGGTGAATGACTGAACTACACGCGGTAAATTACTACACCACACACTGAGTTACGTTTAAATTCATGCGGTGAATTACTGCAAATATTACTATACCACACACAACGTATTATTCAACCACGCATTGTTAAACACACAGTAAATAACTAACCTATACACTGAATGACCACTCAACTACAAATGTGAACGATTATTAAACCACACAGTGAATTAATAGAACGTAAAATGTACTATTTAAAACTGTCAAATCACAGTCATTATTGAGTTAAGCAACTGGTTGTGAGCTTAGCGATAGTTGATTATATAGATTTTGCAATATTTTGTGAATTGCGCAGCGGAGGAAGCAATATTTTGGAGCTATGAGGAAATTTTTTTTTGAGGGGGGGGGGGTTAAATCTAATGTAGCGTATTATTATTATTATTGTTATTATTATTATTATTATTAACTGAATGCCAGCAGTAATTCTAGGTTAGGTCTGGTCCGTTGCACATCCCACTTAATATTGGAGAATTTATATAATACAATAACTAAAATCAATATCGAGTCAAATCACTAACCCAGAACCAGCAGGGAAGCTAGAACAGGGTAAATCATGTTGAATAACACGGTGATGAAGAAGGGTGAGTGCTTGTAAGTTTGTAGAGTGGAGTAGTTGTCTGTTCCTCTGCCTCTTAAGATATACAGGTGATCGCTGGTGGTATCTGGTCGGGGTTAATAACAGAGAGATGACGATAAGAGATAAAAGTAGACAAGAGGATCGTCGAGACAGCTATGGCATTACACTGAATGCGCGATAACCTTCCTCTGACGATTAGTGGGATACTGAGGTCTCATGGCGACAGCCAGGCCAGTCTCCTCGGGACCAAGGAGGGCGTACAAGCTGCCAAATATCGCTCTTTTCTTATTATATCTGTTATTCAGAGTTATTTTCATCGTTATACATTACAGAGGATCATTTGCTAATGCTTATTTCCCCGATATGCACATAGTTTGATCAAATTCTTCAGAAACACCTGCTTAGCAGAGACGCTTTGCAATGTCCATTTGTAGCTGCTAAGCATCGCTCTTCTATCTATAACTAGTATCTTATTGAGAGGTGTAAATAAACTCTTAAAATCTCCATATGCTTGCATGAAATATCCTTCAGGGATGGGCATGCCGGTGAAGAACGCTTGATTCAAGAATCCAACGAATCGTAGTAATTGGATATATATCTATATTTCTCTTCCTTTATCCATTGTCTCTGCTTCATGGGTATGATTTTTCTTGCCGCCCACGCACAGGGATGATGGAGTATCTTCATAAAACTTCCATTTTTCCTGTGTATGGATAGGCTGTCTTGACCCCTGAGAAGATGGCAATTCTCAAGTGGCAGTAATATCAACTCTGTTTGAAGGAAACCTCTGAAGCTGCCATAGCTGATGAAACCTTGCTAGAATGCTTAGCCAAATCCTTATTGACCTACGGAAATCTCCCAGCTCAGGCTGGCGAAGTTCAACATCTTGTATGAGCCATTTCTTGCGTGGACTATGACAGGGAAACAACTAGGTTTTGTTCCCACTGTGTAATTAGAATAGGGTAGCAGCACACTGCTGGTGTGTCCAATTTTGTTCTCGATAATTCACGAGGTGTGCATTGATGCTGGCGAAGGGCTCCTGATCCAACGAACTGGAGCTAAGCTTTCCCTCTGGATCAAAAATCTGATTATCTTTCGTCCCTCCCATTCCACAGGCGCTGTGTACCCCTTAAGGATTTAGCTCTTCCCATAAATATAATCGTATGTGATAAATATTTGACTGATTTCTTCAGAAAGTCATATATTTAGGCACTCCGAAGGAACACGAGTAAGACACATGTTCAACACTTAGGTTTCTTTTTTAACGAAAATATCCGGGTGTTGCACATGTGCCTTACTCATTAACCTGTTAATATCGTATGCTATTTATATAACACACACACACACACACACACAGATGAATCACAGGGATGTTAGGAAGCATTTCTTCAGCCACAGAGTAGTCAGGAAGTGGAATAGTTTGGGAAGCGATGTAGTGGAGGCAGGATTCATGCATAGCTTTAAGCAGAGGTATGATAAAGCTCACGGGTCAGGAAGAGTGACCTAGTAGCGACCAGTGAAGAGGCGGGGCCAGGAGCTAGGACTCGACCACTGCAACCTCAACTAGGTGAGTACACACACACACACACACATGTATATTAGGCACAGGTGCTGTATGATCCCTAGGTGTTTAGCGTTTCCCTTTGATTGTAATAATAAAATTGATAGGGCATTGTTTTCTACTGGGGCAAGGCGAAATGCGGGCGGTCATATAGTGTTGAGGCGGGGGTCTGAATCTTATCAGAGCAGTGACTAATACACAAATAACCTGCAAATAGGAGAGAGAAAAGCTTATGACGACGTTTCGGCCCGGCTTTGACCATTTACAGTCACACTAGCACAAAAGAATGAGGAAGCCAGTATGTATAGGCGAAGGGGAGAGGGACGGGATCAAGAAAGGAAGTAGTGGTATGGCTGGTAGTGGAAGTAGTAGTAGAAGTAATAGTGACAGTAGAAAGTAGGGAGAGTAGTTTAGTGGCATACTAGAGAAAGGGGAGTGAAGAATGAAAGGAGGCAATAGTAATGGTAGAAGCAGCACAATAGTAGTACAGTTACTGATAATTCTCGAAGCAAAAAAAAACTTTTTCCAGGGCAAATTCTTTAATTTATTGCGTTTGAAATGGATCAACTGGTTTTTATTTTACTTTCGTTTTTCTCAAGAATAATAAATGATAAACTTCCATACAGTGTTTATATGGGAATTATATTTTTTTTATATTATAATGGTACAAAACGTATACAACTGTAGAGAGAATTCTTGAACTGTGAAGAAAGTTTTAACTTAAACAATAAAAATGTACACTGAGAATTATAATGGGTCAAATGCTTCCTAGTTTGCATCATCAACCCTGTTCTCTTGATGCTGGTCAGGGGCTCTTGATCTAAGGAAATGGACCTGTGAGCCAATTTCTTGAACCGAGTCTAAATGCCTTCTATTCCCCCAGGTGCTGTGTAACACCTACGGGTTTAGCGCTAACCACAAATGTGATAATAACAATCTCATTGAAAATAAATTATACCCTTAGTTTTGCTGAGTTATCCTCGAATAATTTATCTAACTGTGACTTCTGGGTGAAGGGCTCTTGATTCAAGGAAGTGGAACTACTCCCCCTTGGATAAAACTTGATTAACCCTTTGGACCTCCCATTTCCCAGGCGTTTTATGGCCCTTACGAATTTAGTGCTTTTCTATGAATAGAATAATCATCACAGTTTGATTATAACGAGTTTAATGTATTGAAGAAATTCAAAATAGCAGTTTATTAAAAAAAAGTATTTTTATAGAACATTCATAACACGAAACCCTCGCGGGTTATTCAGTGGGGAAAAACGTTTGTATATTAACGAGAATAAAGTGTTGACGTTGAGCAGGGAAGCCATGGCCAGCCTTGCCAGAAGAGTAAGCTAGCAAATGCGTATTAGGCTGCCAACCCCGCTATACTGAAGCCATCCACCACTACCCCCTCAAGGGGTATGTTCGTTGGGAATATTTTCTCGTGACGCAGGTCATATAGTCAGGAGCTTGGTGGAGCTTTTTATTGTTTGAGCCGAAATGCCGAAATCTTCCCCCGGGCTCTCCTGTAGATACCGTAAAAATACCATAGAATAATAACGTGAACCACAAACTTATGGGAGATCATTCTAAATACTCTCAGTCTCTCCGCTTAGACCACAGAACAGCAATACACAAACCATATCACAACCATAGCAAAAATGACTCTGCAGTCTCACTGAGGGAAAAAACCACAGCTTGTGTGACTCAAGAAGGATAAGGAGTTCATAAAACACATCAAGAACCGTGAATGATGCCGATAAGGGGCTCTTGATTTGATCATCCTTGATTACATTATGGGGAAATGGAACGTAAACTGTATTATGCTTTGCATATTAAGTCGTTTTCTTTTGAACATGTAAGTATACGTTGTATAATAATTGTGTGAAACCGGAGCCGACCGCGGGGGGCGTTGCCCCCGGAACGCCCTCCAGTATACTCCAGGTAACCTGTAACCAAAATTAACTTTTCAGTCACTGTTATTTCTTTTTATATTTTTTATTTTGATGAAAGTACACTTAAATTAAAACTGTAGTTCATTGCATCTCTATACAAATTTCTACTTGGGCCCTTCAGTGCCCGTTTCAGAGGATACCTTTTTGTCAAAGGTCTTCCAACATATAGATAGACCTCTCATCTCCAGATCTTTTCAGGGCGAGGCTTGGTCTTGTTTCTGTATTCCATCCCCACTCCTTCCCATGATGACGGAACAAGGTACCTCATATTTTACATCCCCTACGTTCCAAATTCAAGTGGACAAGCTGGCACCCTACATCACACCAGTGGTTGTTTAATCACCGATACCCAACATCAATACATCATGACTCACGAAATCGTAATGGCACGACTGCAAACAGACCATACCACGGGTGGGGTTAGAACCCGCAATCAGTCTCAAAACTCCAGACCGTGGCAAACGCGACGGTCTGGAGTTTCGAGACTCTCCGATCTCGGGTTCTAACCCCACTCGTGGTATGGCTTATCAATACATCAAAAGGTTTCTTAATCGCTGATAACTAACATCGGTACACCAGCTGTTACTTACGGAAAAATTGATACCTAACGCCGGTACGTCAGAGGTTACCTAATCGTTTAAGAATTAGACACATGTGCAACATCTAGGTATCTTTATCTGTAGACATTACGCTTTCCAGTGGTTTTATTAATACAAATTCAAGGACATAATGGGAAGACTGTAGAACTATACACAAAAGACAGTGTAATCAGTCCCTCAGCCTTGGAGTTAATGAAGAGTACTGTATTTTTATATAGTTCTACAGTATTCCCATTATGTCCTTGAATAAGTATTGACAAAGCCACTGGTTGGCGAAACGTCTACAAATAAAGATACCCAGATATTGCACAAGTGTCTAATTCTTAATATTGTCGGTATTGTATACCATGCATGTATTATTAAATAGTTGTCACCCAGAACGTGTATGCCAGCAATTGCATAATAACTGATATCCACCCGATTCCTTACCCCAGGCACCGGTTGACATGGTACACACACTGAACGGTAAGTAATTTTCAGTTGCATATACACTATGAATTTAATCCCAGTTCTAGGAATTAGCTAAAGACATTCCCATACGGTCATACCTGTACCTCTGCATCACGATGGCACTGTTTTAAGAGGATTTTATAATAAGCCCCACTATTATCGTAAGTCACATTTTACTTATTAATTGGAATAAATATTTAGGATACCTGTAAGGGTATCATCTTAAAGCAATAGTATTGATTCTCTGTTTTATTATATGAGTATAAAACCTAGTTACAGTAAACCAGTGGATGCTTAAATTCCGCAGTTACTGGTCATCATTTGATAAAGAGCCGTGTCAGGAGATACTTGCTTCCTGACGAAAAAAATCACAGCTCCCTAGAAGTAACTTAGTTGCTACCCTGTAGTTAGGTGCCTGATTGAATGACGGTGAAGAACAGGGGGTAGGAAGGTGTGATTAGTAAAGGCTATGGCCTTGCGCCGCTGGGGTCAGCGCTCTAATTTGTAGACAAGACGAATCAAGACAGATAAGATTCTTATAGGGTACTTGATAACGATGGTGTTTGTTTCATTGAGACTGCTTAGTAATTTGTTGTTGGTAAGTGCTATATTTTAGTTGTCATGAGAAATGTTTCCATTTCTCCTGACGTCGGTCGTGGTAAGACAAGCTCCGTTTAGCTTTTGGTCAGTTGGCCGAGTGTGAGCTGGCTGAGATTTTCCGCAAGTCATTGTTAAATACTCGAATCTTCAGAACAAGCATCTTGGCCTTGATTATTATTAGTTGTTGTTGTGTTATGCAGCGTTTGGGGTATGGGTGGCAGACAGGTTCAGTCTGAGGAAGGGGAGATCAGGTCCACTTCCCTGGCTTACAGAACCCTTCATCCTCTCTTGAAGAGTTTGACCTTGATTGTCATCATTTCTCCTCTTTTCTCACGCGATTTGATAAGGGTCCAGGACGGACCGAAATGACGTCTAATTTTCATTTTTAATATGTGGATTAGTTATGGATTTTCCAGCCACGGTATTGTCATATTACATACTATTGATATGTAAGGTATCAGCCAGTTTTGCGTTTGTTTGCTCTACGCCCCGAGGGGGCGTTGACCCCCGGAACTCTCGCCAGGTAAACAGCATTTGAGAAGCATATTTTTTCTCACACTACGACGGGTACAGTTTGATAATGTACCACTCCCATATTTAGCGAGCAGAGAATCAAGCCTCCACCATTCCTTGCGCAATATGATCCGCATGAGGATTTCCGCTTTACAATTTTTTAAAATCTTATGTTTGTCCCCAGATTGTCGAGAACCTTTCTCTTTTTGGGAACCTATTTTTGTGTGGGCGCCCTGGGACGCCTCCTCTTTATTCTGTATTGTCTGGATAAGCTTATAACAAATCAGTAATATTTGTACTTGGTCTTGACCACTGTTAGTGGATCTGTTGCCATGTGCTGTAGGCCTTGACAAGTATATTAGTCTTATTGTCCTTATGATTAGTCTTGCGTGTTCTTACTGCGTGGTAATGTGTCACACACAGGCACGCACACACACACACACACACATGACTCGTAATATCCGGGCTGTTTCAAAACAATATATACGCGTCTCCGTCACGTTTGGACAACATTTACTCTGGAGCTCTACAGTCGGTCTTACGGACAGTAGGATAAATATGTACAGTATTTCCGAAATCACATGGACGTTGAAGGGCATTCATGTACGTACTTGTACTGTAATGATACATTAGGTAAGTGTCACCTAGTATAAGCCAATAAATTTTGTTTGACGTTTAATTATTGGGTTACCTGAAGGATACTGTGGACAATCGGCAGCTAGCAAACAAAATATAATTCCCTTAATACTCCATAAATATTTTCTGGCTTATAAATAAAATATACTGGCATGAAATTTATATACAAATTGTTAAACACCCTGTACAAAAAAGCAGTCACGTGATCACAAGTGCCAGCTCACATGCACTCCATTGGAAGTGTTTGTAAGATCCCGGAGTTGGTGTATCTTCCAAGAATAAAGTTTATATAATGACATTAGGAAAGATAAATGTGTATGACGTAAGTTATCTTAGTAGATCATTGTTTACTATGAAATGTAATAACTTGACATTTTTAGACAAGCTGATGGAAGTATAAATAAGGAATACTATTGTCGTTTTAATATAAGTTTTTATGCAAATATATGCATTGTGTTGTATGCCAAGAGAACATGTTGGTTAAGATGTATATCTGCAGTGTGGATTTGTACTCTGCTCTTGCCTAAGTCACAGTAGCCACATGACTGAACTTTCATCATATTCAGACTGTGACCTTTGATATTTCTTTAGAAATTGATTACTCTTGCGCAAGTTTTAGATTCAAGTAGGCCACTCCATATTCTTGATCCCTTTATTTGCACGGAATTTCAATTTAGATTTAGTCGTACAAATGAAATACCCAAGAGGTAATCATTTTTCAGTTATGTTTAGTGTACTATATCTACGATTACAGTTATCTAATAAGATTTTCAGGTCCTGGTTAGTTTTTGCCCCTAGGGTCGTGTACATGAAGAGTACACTCGTAACATAAAGCTCCCTGACGGACTGTTCTGTTTTGAATGCATTATTATTATTATTATTATTAGTTATTTACTACAAGGGTTACACACCAATGGGTCATATAACAAAATACTATTATTATTACATTTGTGGGGGAGCGTTAAACCTGTAGGAGGGTCATACAACGTCTAGGGGTTGGGAGGCATTAATGTTAAATCCAAGGAAGGGGAGCTCATGTTCTGTTTATTAGATCAAGGAACTTCCTTTGAGGGGATAGCAAAAGAAAATTCATTGAAGTACATTCTCGGTGTGTGTTCACTGAGATATACGCCTCTCCGTGTATATAGTCAAATAACTACGTCGTGTACTTTCATGAACCGGCTGGATTGCCTGAAGGCGGATGGGATGCCGGATGAAGCGGATGTTAGTAGATTAGGATATAGTGTGGGGCCCAGTTACTCCACTCACTGGCTGGTGGGTGACCAATGGTGTGCAGAGTTGCTGTCTTCCTCATGTCAGCAACATGACTAGACTCCTAACCAGTTCGAGTTGATTCGTCATTTAAACAATAAGCATGAAGGTGTAATAAAAAATATTCTCTGGCTTATGAATCTAGACCAGCAACAGTGTGTAGTTTTTTAAATATAACCCACAATTTGAAAGGAAAATATAATGCCTTGAAAGTCCAAGGTCAATTTGTTAGGTAGTAATTCCTCCGAGGTAGCAATTGAAATGGTGTATGAGTACATAGGACCTTCTCTGAATATTTTCTTTACTCTTCAATGATTTTTGAAGGGAAGAGGGTGTACGAGTGTATGTTATAATACTCATATTCATACCATGAGTTCACGAAGGCAGAGAAGAAAGTGAACTGTGTTGAGGTTCGTTTAATAACTTTATTATGCACCCCATACCCATTCTGTGGACGGTAGTCAGAAGATTACATTGGCACATAATGGGTCCAGGGACTGGGCCTTGAAGTTTTAATAAGTTTATTCAGGTGTAGGTACAATAAATAGTTATATAAATTATCATAACAGCAGCATATATATATAGATTACCTAGGATGACCCAAAAAAAAGTCTAAGTGACTTATTTCGATTGGGGTGGTAATGAACTATTCACATGTTTGTATCTGATTGCACATTGTAATAAGTTATTTACGCAGACATGAATTCAGTCACAAAAACATTACGGTCAAGATGACACTAATAACGTCAAAATAATGTTCCGCCCATACCAGGAGGTACTGTATGATAATTGTACTTATGTGTACATGTACCTAAATAAACTTACTATAGATAATTTAGGATCAGGATTCCTAGTTTAGTTCTGTTGTTACTAGAGAAGAAATCTGAGGTCGGGGCGTCTTTGTTGGTTGGTTTGCGGCAAACTTAGAATTTACGTTGGTACATGATACATAGAAGTACAAGGAAATACAGTGGTTAAGTGTAACATGCCAAAGCCCATTGTATGCAGAGCATTATGGGCAGGCTTTTGTCTTTTCGTGGTTTGATACTGTTTTTTTAGTATGCTAATGGTAATCAGAATATAGGCTATTATAACAGATGTATGGTAATGGTAGTCAGAAGACAGGTTGTTATTTGGAGGTATGGTAATGGTAGTCAAGATGCGGGTTGTTATTTTAGAAGTATGGTAATGGTAATCAAAGACAGGTGTTACTTTAGAAGTATGGTATGGTAGTCAGAAGACAAGCTGACATATTAGAAGTATGGTAATAGCACCCAGAAGACAGGCTGTTATTTTCGAGGTATGGTAATGATAGTCATGGTACAGGTTCTTATTTAAGAGGTATGGTAATGGTAGTCCAAATGCAGACTGTTATTTTTAGAATTGATCGAATGGTAATGTTAGTCAAAATTCAGTATTGGGTTTATATAAGAAATATTGTGGGTTATACAGCGCCCGGCGGGGGGATGTGGAAGGCATTCAGGCTTAATTCGGGGAACTGGAGCACAGATCCAATTCCCTAAATCAAGAGCCCCCTCACCAACATCAAGGAACCTTCCATGAGGGGTATTGAGGGTTAAGGGGAGGAAAATGTGCGCACGAGTGAGGAGGAGCCATGGGAGCCCATTTACCACCCCGAGCCACTTGGTATATTCAGTACCACCCCAGCAACGGCCGGGACCACTGTAGCACACTCAGTGTAGTGTCACAGTAGTCGTCTGGGGCATTCCACACTAGGTATATCTTTCTTATCACACTGCTATCGCCTTGGGAACTACTTGAAGAGTCGACTGAGATCATCACAAGTCAGTCATCTTGGCCTGCAGGTAGTCAGCACTTGAAGGCTCTTCCATTTGCTCGCATCACCTACACAAGCCTACCACTACCAAGCTCCACCTCAACTACAAAGGTGAGTACAAATGTTTGGTTTGGTCTGAGTTGGTACAAATGTCGGTTTCAGTGACGTGGCTGTCTGGTCGCCAACACTACTAGTATTAACTACTAATAGGACTATTACTAAACACTACTAGTTACTACTAATAGGACTTACTAAACACTACTAGTTACTACTGATAATACTATTACTACTACTGATAATATTACTACTACTACTACTGATAATATTACTACTACTACTGATAATATTACTACTACTACTGATGATAATATTACTACTACTACTGATAATACTATTACTACTACTACTGATAATACTATTACTACTACTACTGATATTATTACTACTACTACTGATAATACTATTACTACTACTACTGATATTATTACTACTACTACTGATATTATTACTACTACTACTGATACTATTACTACTACTGATAATACTATTACTACACTACTGATAATACTATTACTACGACTACTGGTAATACTATTATTACTACTACTGATAAAATTACGACTAATTACTATTGCTACTACTACTGCTAACTGCTAGTACGACTAGTAGTACTGCTCGTGGCTCAAGTGAGTGCCGTCAGGTCTCATCTGAAAGACCGGCTGCTTAATCACACGGGTTTAGCGCTCCCCTTGATTATAATAATAATAATCTGAAAGACCTGGGTTCGATCCTGGGTCAAATGAAAACAGGGGTTTTTACTTATACCTGTTGCCCCTGTTCCTGCAGCATTATATAGGTGCTGTACCTGGGTAGCCGACTGTTGTGGGTCTCATCTTGGGAAACAGGATCAAAGGACTTCGTATTAGAAAAGTCTTTTGTTGGGTTATCCTGGGTTTATAATTCAAATATTTTTCTACTAGTTAATGAGCAAGAGAAATAGTTCTAATTATAGTGACCTCTCAAGGAAGGTTCCTTGATGCTGGTGAGGGGCTCTTGATCTAGGGAACTGGATCTGTGCTCCAGTTCACTGAATTAAGCCTGAATACCTTCCATTCCCCTCCCCCCCCCCTCAAGGAAGGCTCCTTGACGCTGGTGAGGGGCTCTTGATCTAGGGAATTGGATCTGTGCTCCAGTTGGATCTGTGCTCCAGTTCCCTGAATTAAGCCTGAATGCCTTCCATTCCCCCATAGGCGCTGTATAATCCTACGGGTTTAGTGCTTCCCCCTTGATTATAATAATAATAATAATAATAATCCCCTCCCCCCCACAGGTGCTGTATAATCCTATGGATTTAGCGCTTCCCCTTGATTATAATAATTACTGCGAGTAGGACTTGCGTAACATAAGGAAAGTGTGGAAAATTGCATTTACTTGGATGTATCATTATTTACATAACAGTAAATGAACAAAGATAATTATTATTTATCAGTTAGACAAGTAGGAATTTGGGACACCTAGGTCGCAAAAAATGTCCCCCCTTCGATACCTACCACTATCATATCCACAAGTTGCTCTGGACCTATTAATTACAAATGAAAAATACATCGCCAGGAATTCTGGTAAATATATAAATTTGTGGACTGTATAAAATAAATTATATATATATATTATATATATATATATATATATATATATATATATATATATAAATTATATATATATATATATATATATATATATATATATATATATATATATATATATTATACACTTATACAACAGGAGAATATATCTTAATCATAACACTCGCCAATTTGACTGGAGATTAATGTGTATCATACTCAGAAAACCTCACTGTCTATGAAAATAACACTGGCCAGAGTTAAGATAAGATAAGATTTCGTTCGGATTTTTAACTCCGGAGGGTTAGCCATCCAGGATAACCCAAGAAAGTCAGTGCGTCATCGAGGACTGTTTAACTTATTTCCATTGGGGTCCTTAATCTTGTCCCCCAGGATGCGACCCACACCAGTCGACTAACACCCAGGTACCTATTTGCTGCTAGGTGAACAGGACAATAGGTGTAAGGAAACGTGTCGAAATGTTTCCACCCGCCGGGAATCGAACCCGGGCCCTCCGTGTGTGAAGCGGGAGCTTTAGCCACCAGGCCACCGGCCACCACATAACAGACTTATCTGAGATTCCTGGAGCTGTCTTGTCCAGTCGCCTGATATCTCAAGTTATGCAGGAATGCACATCCAACAATTTCGCCTCCCATTATACACTACCGTTAGTGTCCAATTCAAACAAAAATGGCGAGTCCTGTCTGCGCAGGCGCAGGTCCAGTTTCCCATTTTCCATAATATAATTTTAAATACAGTATGGCCATCTATTTACATATAACTACTGTATTTCTGGAAAATATATCCAGTATTTTCCACAGAAAGCCTACTTCAGGGCTAGTCTTTTTTTTGTGATAAGACTCGATAAAACATCCTTTATTATAGGTATACAGCTTTTCGTTTACATGTAATATCGATCAAGTATACATGTGTATGTATGTATATCAATGTATGTATATATCATTGTGTATGTATGTATGTATGTGTATATTTTGTGTATATGTAATACGTTTATTTTTCATGTTATGCTCCATCACATAGAACTATTGAGAACATTAGGCAAACTTTCCGCCTTCATTATGGTTTTTATAGTTACCGGGGCGCCTGTAGGGAGCTCTTTAACTTTTAGGAAAATCTTTTGACATTAATAGTGTTTATTTTTTTTATTGATACTGATTATTTAAACTTAGTTTAATAGTAATTGTGTCGAGCATTCATACTGATAGCATTCATTGTTTGTTGTATCTATTTTAATTGTGTTAATTTTATCTTTTGTTTTAATTGTGTGTTTGATGTCATTAGTTTATTGGTACGAGTGCTGAGTAAGTGCTATGTAAATATCGTAGTTGGTATTACTACATCACAAAGGAGAATTTTTTTTTTAACAAGTAATGAAATCTGGTATGTTGGTTTTGCTGTCTGTGAAAGAAATATTTCAATAGGCTCGCTACATTTAACATACGGTTAGTACAAATGCATGTAGCTAGCTTCACAATTTTTCAAAGAGCAAGGGTTGAGCTTGCTAGCACATTACCCGCACGATTCAAACAAAAAATAAAGCTTAATGACTGTCTTACGGCATATTGAGCGAGCTGCCAACTACGTCCCATGCCCTTCCGCGCCCTGATCATGTGATCCTTCTTCGCTCAAGGCTGGGCCCTGGGACACCACTGAAGATCCTTCGTGTTTGTTTATTCGTCGGGAAAACCCCGTCTAGTGAGGTTCCTTGATGTTGAAAGGACTTCTGATACAAAGAACTCTTCTTACCCTCCTCTTCCTTGGACTGAACGTGAATGGCTCCTACTCTCCCTGGGCTGTATGACCCTACGGGTTCGAGCCTTCCCCTGTGATTAATGTATTAAATCGCCAGGGAGAAAAATTGTCTGAAGGGAGTCTTTGTTGCAGGATGACTTATTTATTGGTGCCGACTATTAATACAAGCAGTATATTAGTATCCCATTGAGAGGCCTAGTTTTAATAGCCAACAGCTCCCTCATCAAGGGAAGTGAAATGATTTGGTACCTATGATTGCACGAAAATAAATTGATCCATCCAGTTATGGTCAGACCCTACAGTGTTTAAACTGGCTGATTAAACTGGCTGAGCTATGCTCACTTAAAGACCCGGGCTGGGACAGTACCGGCGAACCTACTAGCTATGCTCACTTCCTTAATACCACACCGCTCAGGGGAGGTTCCTTGATTCTAGTGATGGGCTCTTGTCCTAAGGAATTGGACCAGTCCAATTTTCCAATTTCTTGAATTAAGCCTGAATATTTTCCATTCTCCTAGGCTACCCCACTAATGTAATACTCGCCTAATTGTGGTTGCAGGGGTCGAGACTCGGTTCCTGGCCCCGCCTCTTCACTGAGTGCTACTAGGTCCTCTCTCTCCCTGCTCCATGAGCTTTATCATACCTCATCTTAAAGCTATGTATAGTTCCTGCCTCCACTACCTCACTTGCTAGGCTATTCCACTTCCTGACTACTATGACTGAAGAAATACGTACTTCCTAACATCCCTTTGACTCGTCTGGGTCTTCAGCTTCCAATTGTGACCACTTGTTTGTCCCCCTCTCTGGAACATCCTGTCTCTGGCCATCTTGTCTATTCCACACAGTATTTTGTATGTTGTTATCATGTCTCCCCTGACCCTCCTGTCCTCCAGTGTCGTCAGGCCGATTTCCCTTAACCTTTCTTCGTAGGCGTGTGAACAAACGGGAAATAATACATCTTATTGTTAGTGATCACTAGTTAAATTTACAAAGCAACAATATCCAGCTATAAGATAATTATTCCAAAACTTGGAATAATTATGTTAGACAATGTCAGGAGAGGTAAAGTGCTGTACGGATAACTGCTATTATTGGAGTCGTCGCTCAACCTCTGGGACGAGCGGGCGTGAGCTGAGCCTGCCCTCTGCTGTCAGCTGGTGAAAACTTGGTTTTCCCGAAATGGCGCAGCAGGCAAGAAGGGTAAACACTGTCGGCATAGAAGTGGTGTATGCCCACTCAGCTCAAGTTTTATTACCTGCCATCATCAGGGACACATACCGCATTGCAAATGAAGAGCTTGTGGGAAATTGCATTTATCTGAATGTAACTACCTCTTCAAGGGGGGCTCCTTGGCGTGGTGAAGAGGCTCTTGGTCTGAGGAATTAGACCTATCGGTCTTCTTCCTCAGACCGAACCTAATTACCCCCCAATCTCCCCTCCCCTATCCCATCCTCCCCATCCTCCCCTTTTTCCTTTCCTCCTCCTCCTCCCCACTCCTCCCTTTTGCCCTTCCTCTTTTTGTCCTTTGGGATTTCTCCCACAGGCACGCTAGTTCCTAGGTAGAGGAAAGGACACCGGGGTCGATCCCATTCCGTTGAGGTTTCTTGGCGGTGGCGTAGTTTGCCGTGGAATCTGGATTGCCTAGGGATGTCCCGATCCCTCTCCGGTATCCCGGAGTAGCTTTGGGTGTCTTTTGGGCGACGGGTGTATCTCTGG